CTATATAAGTGAATTGTGCAAATAATTGTGCAAAAGTCCAGTAGTACAACTCTGGCACCACGCCTATCACGTCTCCAGATAAACAAACATTTATAATGCATTTTTCTTTCAAATTTGGATTAATTTATGTTTATGTTGTTGACGCACCTATTTGGCACCTGTCCCCATTGTGTTATGGTGTCATGTAAGTGTGTCAAATTTACTTATATAGCACCTCCAAGAGCAGAATGTCCCAAAGTGCTTCCTAATGAAAAAATAAGGCAACAGACGATCTTAAGATGAGATAAAACTATATAAATAACTTTTTTGCCTTGTGCACTTTGAGGTTCGGTTTGATAAGTACTGTACCATATTTTCTTGACACAAGAATCTTAACTCTTGGTCCACTTACCAGCTTTTTTCTTATCAGCTTCACTCCATAACAAATGAGCAAACTCCATGCACTGATGAAGACTGTGAGATGCAGTTGAAAAGCTGCAGAAGAAGCAAGTAAATGGACCTTAAGATTATTTTGTCAAAACACTACTTACTTCAAGGTCAAGAAAGGACTTTTATTATTATAGCATTATAACATTTCAAAGACTTTGAAATAGAAAAAAATGTAATGCGAACTGTTAAACAGTAATGCGATGAATGATAATGAAATGAAAACTAAAAATTCCTCTGTGGCACTTTAGTTTTATTTTAATGTTCAGTTACACAACCCTGAATGTTCATGGTGTGATACAGACAACTTTTTCTGCATTTGTCAATTAAATCTTCTATCCCACATTTAAAGCCCCTTACTTGTAAAAGTAATATAAAATTCCCATAAGTACCAAAGCCACTTATCATACACAAAATGAAATACTTCTCACAAATGACTCAGAACTCTTTTTCCACATGACATGTCCTCCTGCGGTGTGACAAAGTACTGACCCGTACAGAAGACACATGTAATAGCACTCAGAATACAGCTAAATTCACTGTGGTTGCCCTCTTAACACATATATGGTCATTTCCAATAATACAGCAGATGAAACTGACCTTGCTGTGCTCTTACTGAATGAGCTGAACACCTGCTCTCTGAGGTGGAGTTTGGCCATAAAAAAGTTGTGAGAGGGAAGTTATTAGAGAGAGGGAGGGTGGGGTGGGTGGGGTGGTGGGGCAGAGAGAGGGAGATGACTTTATCTTGCCTGCATACAGTCTATGGCTTACAGTCAATGAAAAAAAGAAAAATGACTTGATTGTAGCTGATAGTTTTGCCACATAAGCTCTGGAAAAACCGGGCCAGTCATCTCAGCCTCTATCTCAAAATGTGTGTGAGGGAGCAATTGTATGTGTGTTTTCCAGTACAAGTAAGCAGGTATTTGCATATGTAAGCGTGCCTCCAAATAACTTGCTCGCACCTGTAAGTAGGTCTGTGCATATGTTGCGTGTTAGAGCAAAGTGGAATTGTGTTTTTTCTCTGTGTTTGTGTGTAGCCCAGCTCCATACGAAGATGAGTATGGAAACAGATTATGCTGAGGAGGTCTGCAAATCATTTCCTGTGGGTTGACTATTTATCAAATACCCTTGAGGGTTAGACGCTCCCCTCGCAAACATGTCTCCAGCATCTTCAGGATTAAATGAAGAGGATTAAGTAAAGATGATAATAGCATTTTTAACACTTTCACCACTAGAAAAAGTGCTAAAAAAAAAAAGGATGAGGACTCAAAAAAATCTTTTTCAGAATAACTGTACTAAAACAGTGGAAAATACTAAATGCATGTCTGAGTCTCTGGGTGCATGTGAGTTCACTGCATGTGTGACCAGTAAACTCTCTCTACCTTCCATGCACAGACACAGACCTGCTCACTGGGTGGTGACACTGCTGGCGAGTGAACTGAAAACTGCAAACGACAAAAGCTGGAACAACAGGAAGATAATTCAGATTTGATTGGTTTCACGTGTTCTTCATAAACAACAAAGTTTTCCTGTGCCTCCAGCGTGTTTTCCTACAAACATGGAATCCATTTGTCCCCCGTCTTCATGCCCTGTAGTTGCAACAGGCTCTTACCAACACACACACACACACACACACACACACACACACTGTGAAATGGAAGCAGACAGAGCGAGCCCACCATTGTGGCACTGGGATCTTTTGATATACAGTCAGGAACTTATTTTGAAAACAGCCACTTTCAGCTGCTAAAAATAATCACGAAGGACTCGGAGACGAATATGTGAATGAGGCTCACCAGATATGCCTCTCCCGTCAAAATAACGAGGAATGTCCTCACAAAAGCTTATGTTCTTTACATGTCATTTTACTGAAAAGTTTACAGCCAAGTAGATTTAAAGGGTCAGTCTGCTCAAATACAAGACAGCATATTTTGTCTTTTTACCCTTGCTGTCAAGCCATGAAGACATTTGGGTTTTATTTGTCCAGGTTTTGGGATTTCTGTCTTTGACAGAAGTAATGAAGTTTTGTTTGTGGTATGCTTACATTAATGAAAACATTTTTCAACAGCAACAGATTTTTCCATAGAGTGTCTCTATTCCTCTGTATAATCCATGGAGCAATCTACATTTCTCTGATAATTTCCTCTTTTGTGGACAGTGCACAGCTTTACCTATTTAAGCCACTAAAAAATCATCACATTAAAAAAATCTGAGAAAAGATAATGACTCTTATATACATGCAACCTGTAGCGAGAGGTCATTATTGCCTTGTATTATGGAAGAAAAACCAAAACCCAGTTTCACACAGATGAAAAAAATTTTATTCTAAGTTATGTAATAAGTCAGTGGGTTCATTAGCAATTAAGAAATAAGTAACGACTTAAAAGTTTACTTTAAAGTCTAGCTGAAAAGGTTTCCAAACATAGCAAACCTGAATCTAGTTTTTGGGGTTTGAAGATTTCACTAAGTCAGTGAAGAGTTAGAACAAGAAGACATCATGAAGAATACAATATATTAAAGAAATAAGATGGATTTTAACAACATTAGGTGAAACAAAAGGGGGAAATGTTATGTTTAGAGGTTAACAAATTACTTTTGCGTCTGTTAATTTAAAAGTTAAACAACTGCTGAAACAAAACTGGCAATAAAGTTTTTTTTTTAAATACGTTTTTCTGCACCGACAAACATATGAGCTGTAGGATTCTGGAAGTCAAAACAAAGCTCCACGTTGAGTGCAGTGTTACAACAATATCCTCACACAATGAGCTCAACAGTCTAAACGCCAACTTCAGCTGTTTGTGACTTGCAGAGGCTTCTCAGTCTTATTAGCATGCCCCATATGGGAGTTTGGTGCTGTAACAATGCAAACACAATGGCTGGGTCCACTCACTGCCAGCATGCAAAGCTGAGGTTAGAGCTAATTACTCTAGTCTAATCGTGATTTCCAGGGATTATCTGATCCTCTGGTATTTTTGATTTCAAAAGGAGAATGCCATCTCAGATGTAGTTTCCAAATCCGTCCACAAATGTTTAGCTGGGAGCACATGTGGTTTAGTGAGAGGCCTCCTGCACAATCAAACCACTTTAGTGGCCGCACAATGAACGATCATCCTGGAGAACACGTGACAAAAAATATTGACTGTGAGTAAGTTGGTCCAGTCCAGCAGGGACGAATAACTAAAGAAAAACACCTGTTGCCTTCAGAGAGAGCTTTAATGTTAGAGACTAAATTCATGGGCTCTGTCCATTTTTAAGACTGAATATATGTGTCATTACAGAAATCATCATGTAGGCTATTAGGACATATTGTAAGCTGCCAAAAAATTTCAACAAGCACAGTTTTTTTGTACATAATTGTAAATAATTGAGCTTTGTTGCTGTTTTTCTTTAAATGATCTCCAGCTGGAAATAATAAAGTTGCTTCCCTTATTATTAACCGCGAAATTACTGATAATAACCTATTCATAACCTTAAAACTCATTTCAGGACTCACATTCTCGTGGGACTTTGTGGGTGAAGATTTCCACTTTCCCCCCATCTCTTTTATTTCGGAGTTGTTATCGTTCAGCATGTTCCGTAATACTTTCATAAATCGTCTCCAAAGCTCCAAAATGGTGAAATAATGGGCCATGTCGGCCACCCGCATTTTACTGTGCTGTAAAAATAATGAAAGTCATATTGCGCTGCGGTTTCAAATCTGCACAGGCAAACGGCACAAGTTTGAAGGAGGTCCTGAGATGTGATCTAAATTGCTATGAATTTTCAATTTTCGACGTTTTTTGGAAAGATGTGCGTGCTGTTTGGACCGAAGCCGGCAGTTAATTTAAGCAGATTTCAGCAAGTGTTGGAGGGAAAATGAATATTTTATTTATCGAGTCAATATTTATCGTGCTGCGTACAGTGACATGTCACCTCTCCTCCAAATAAAAAGTGGATTAACTCAGTTTAAACGTCCCTGCTGCTGTGATTCGTGAAGCACCAGTAATGACACTGTCCACACCGACAGCCCATTAAACAAACTATAATCCCAAATGTCAAAGATATGTTTGTTTATACTGTAAATAATCTATTTTCAATCTGCATTTCTATCATTTAGAGTAAAATTGGCCAACAAGGTGTCACTTTAAACAGTTAAATAAATAAATAAAGTTTACTTTCCCCCAAAGCTCCCATATCTATCACAATAAATTAATCAAATCGTTCTTATTACATAATAATAATAATAATAATAATAATAATAATAATAATAATAAATAATAATAATATATAGTAAATAAAATAATAATGTATCTATACATTCATAAACGTACATAATGATTGGTTGTTGTTTTTACAAAAGTTAGGCCTATGTTGACTGTGCAACCGCATGATAGGTTTTTAGCACTGGCTTTAGGGAATGTAATGCTGCAGACAGATATCATTTATTCATTAATTTAGGCAAATTTACTGTTGTTGTTTTTTCCATACATGTACAAATACAATCAAAGATTACAATCCACGGACAAGTTGGGGGGGGGAATATACATATGAAACGAATACAGCAAATAGTTAATTAGGCTAATTGTTAACAAAGATTGTTTTAGGGGAGGCAAGTTTATTTGTATGACACATTTCAACAACGCAATTTAAAGTGCTGTAACCCACTGTGAAACATGAAAAAGGCAAAAAAAAAAAAAAAAAAACACATATAAGATTTAACGAAAGGAAACAAAAGCAGATAGAAATCAGATAAAGCTGAATAAACCGTGAGAATAAAATGGTGGGTTAAAATCAAGGTCAATTGGACTTGGTTGAAGATGGTTGAAGATACTGGAAGACGTTTCGCCTCTGCATCTAAGAGGCTTCTTCAGTTCTGACTGACTGGTATGGAGTCCCAGGACAGATACCGCTTGGTTCATTAGTGCTCCTGGCTGTTGTAACGACAGTCGTTATGGTCGCTGAGGCAGAGGCAGTGTGAAGACCATCGAGAATAAAAGTTACAGAGCAGGTACCGTACAAAATAACAATGCAGCCTAATCTTTGTTGTAAGCCTCAAATGAAAAGGGCAAAGGTCGTTTTATTTATTGACAAATGTTTTGCCTTATTGTTATTATTGTTATTATTGTTGTTGTTGTTGCTGTTGCTGTAGTTGTTGTTGTTGTTGTTATCTTGGTGTTATACTATGGGCTTCTCTAATCCTGGTAAAGACCCCCTGACTGGTGAGTGAAGGTATATTGATTTCCTCAGTGTTTCTGCCCCCATGTGGTGCAGTGACACTTGTGTTTATCCTGCAAATGCAACAGCATACTCCCCAGTAAACTCTTGCATTTAGTTGCATTTTTTGAATGATCCTTCAGAAAAACAGGAAATAAATAGAACACTTCAGTTAAATCTGAGTGGATTGCCCAAGATCCATTACCTATTATTATTATTATTAGTAGTAGTAGTAGTAGTAGTAGTAGTAGTATAGTATATTCATTGCGTATAGTATATCCATTGCCATCCTAAACATTTTGGCAGAGATTTGCTCATTATGACTTTTTCCTCTTTTGATCTTAATTTTCTACAACCTTTAAAAAAGGTTTTTAAAGTATATCTGTTAAATTGTCCCATGTATGTTTCAGCATTTCCTCTGCCAACATTTAATGGGGGTGCACAGTGGCTTGTGCAGTAATTGACAGACATCAAGCACTGGGTAAATGTGTGTGTTTTATGCTGAATATAAATTTAGTATCTCTAAGATTCCAAAACTTTCGAGCCCTCAGATAGTGCTGAGTGTGTCCATAAATTGTAAAAAATCTGAGGTGTTGTCCTTGAACGTGTTAACAAGAAAGAGGAAGAATGTCAGCTAAGAAAGACATGAAATCCCTAACAAGTTTCAGGAGGTGTTTATGTCGGATTGTGTTCATTAAAGGAAGGGTAGATGTCTTCATATGCAGGTGGACTCAAACAGGTAGAGACGCTCTCGTTGCCACATCCTCTTTCATCCTCTGTCTTCTCATTCCTACAAGGAACCAACAGACATATCTCAGGCAGGCATGGGTATAAGAGAATAGCTGGTTAATATCCAAATGTTTATAGGCCCAATTGGTTATGCTTAAAGCAAATGTTAGGAAGCTTATTGCCCTTTAAAAGAAAACACTGAGGTTGAGCAATTTCTCCTTTGATCATTCCTCTATTTGGCATTAACCAGTGGAAACACAATGGAACAGGTCAGAAGCTGTGACAACATAAGTGAGAGCTGGTGAGCAGAGCATGTGTTCATATGATCGGGGCAGCAGTTTATGGTTATCCTAGGTTAACTGTATTATTCCTGCTGTCTGTTTATATTAAAGTGAATTACTTTCCTGGAATCCTGCTGGGAGTAATTGTCTAAAAACAATAAAAGAAAGTGAAAACTTGTAACTTTCCACTAATGGAATGCGGCTTTGTGTTTAGCAGGACATCTGTCCAAGGATATTTTGATTGGATTTCAAATAAATGGGATCCTGCAATTAGTGGAAAGAAACATTTTTTATGACAATACATAATGTTATGTTCCCCCCAGCACTTAGTTTTAGGCACAGGTGGGAAAATATGATGGACTAGAAATTCACGCCACAATTAGCTTTTTGTTTATAGAGCACATATACACTGTGAAATGCCTTTGATAGGACACCATATTGTTGATTCTGCACCGTACGGGCCACATTTTGATGAAACGACTGAGCTAGAAAGACTTCAGTGAATGTTAACACAGCAAAGGGTGATTAGATGAGTAATTGGGGAGCTATTTTGGTCTTAATTGTCCTCATTTCATTGACACATGGCTTATTTTATTTTATGAATGTTAAGCTGATTAGCTCTTCTCAACATTTTCCCCTCTTAACTAAAAAAATCTGTTTTCTTTCTTTTTCACAGTGATAAAAACCAGAACTCACGTGACAAATTTCTCAAAGTACAGTAATTTACGTGAATCAATACCAGTGTGTTGACTATTATAAAGATGAATTGCACCAAAATTGACTGATAGAGTGTTGACGGGCCAAAAACACTTTGGGCCAAGTGGAAAGCGATCTTGTGGTTAATAAGAAATTAACTCTGGTATGCTATGTCTGTTTAATTGAGCACCGTGAGGAGCTGTGAGTTTTTTACACACTCAGATCTAACTTGAAATGGACTCTCCGCCGCTTTTATTTGCTTTAGTGTCAACACGTTGCCCAATCCATTGCCTGTTGATGATCTTTGTCTTTGTTTGTTTAAGTGATGCATGATCCTGTCCTGTAAAACCACATGTTCCTCATAACATCATGTTTAAGAAATGGCGAACCCCAACAGGAATAAAACATTATTTCTTAGAGGTTTGTGCTTCCTCAAAAGTTGGAGCAATGTCTGTCATGTAAGCACTGTTCCCTACCTGAGTCTTCTGTGGCCTATTTCCGTGCTGTGAGCTGAGCTGCCTTCTTCTCCTGCTGTGAGAGCTGCGTTATCCACACAGAACACATCATGTGGAGGAAAGGCTGCAAGGATGCCATTCACAGACCTGCCAGTCTGGGAATCAATGCTCTGGCGCACATCCTGGGTTATAAAGTTAGACAAAGGTGGAATACAAAACATTGTCGTGGCACCATGTAACAAAGTTGGTTGCGTTATACCGCTTAATGTAAAAGAATGTCCTGTTGAGGTATGCTCCATCACTGGCATTACAAGTACCTCTTCATCACACCGTCTGCAGGGCCAGCAGGGAATGATCCCAAACTTGCAGACACCGGTAAGGATGAAAGTACCTCCGACAGCAATCAAGATGGGGCCCACCAGTTGGGTCCACTCAAAGTTGGGGTTGGTTAGGTAGTAATGCCAGCCCATGGCGGTGAAAGTGACACCCACAAGGGCTAGACACACTCCTGAGAACAGCAGGACGGCTCCAGCCTTCTCGCCATCCAGCAAAATGTCTGACTGAAGAGGGCATGGAACAGGTGTTACCATCCGAGTCGGGTCATCAGGTGGCCCACAGGAGACTGCTGTAGGATTTCTAGCACTGTTGGTCTCCATTACAGGGCTTTGCACCACCATGTTAGTCCAGAAAATTTGGGGTCCTTGTTGGTCCATGAGTCCCCTGGGTGTCACATGTGCGTAGACACTCAAACTGAATCAAGCTGCCTCTAACAGTGAACACCAAGTCCAACTGAATCAACACTGAGTAACTCAAAATACACTTCCCAGCCAGCTGGAGAAGTTATATGTTAACCTGCACTTGAATTGTGTTGCCTATAAGAACATGGTGTACCCCTATCAGTCAACATTAAAATGGCGACTTCTCTTTTTCAGCATGTGTCAGTGAATTCATGTGGACGAGATTACAACTGAATAACGTAGTAGTGTTGGAAAATTTAGGCAGATCATGTCAGAAAAGTGTGTTAGGACAAATTATGGAACAATGTTAATGCAATAAACATACTCTTACACCACAAAATAGTAAACAATGGTAATTATACAGTTAAATGATCTATTTTTATTAACAAAAAACCCTATGGGGTCAAAGGCAAAGTCAAAGTTAAATTCAAATTTATTTAAAGTGTAAAATCACCAGCTGTGTGGTACCAGTACACTTTACAGAAAACAACACATAAGATACACAATTATAAAACTAATAATAAATACAATAAAATAAAATAGACAATTAATATGTATAAAAACTAGCTCAAACTATAAGCCTTCTCACAAAATAAAGAAAAACCATCCCTAACTAAAAGCTTTACTAAAAAGAAAAGTTTTTAGCCTACTTTTAAATATGGAAATGTTGGTTGCTTCCCAAACCCAAACAGGGGTCTGATTCCACAGCCAAGGTGCCTGATGGCTAAAGGCTCTGGCTCCCATTCTACATCTAGAGACCCTAGGCACTACAAGAAGCCCTGCATTTTGGGAGCGTTCTAGTGGGGTAGTATGGTGTAAGGAGTTCTTTCATATAGGATGGTGCCTGACCATTAAGGGCTTTGTGTGTAAGAAGAACTATTTTGAAATCAGTTGTCAATTTCTACCGGGCCAGTGCATAGTTACTAAAACAGGAGTGATATGATCTCTCCTGCTAGTTCTAGTCAGAATGCGTGCAGCAGCGTTTTGTATTAACCTGAAGTATTAAGATCATGAGAGAAAATTTGGTGTGTTTGAGGTCTGTCTGAGAGACAGAAAAATAAGACAGAGATAGTACTGCATGCATAGAATGAGATCTGAAGTCCACCTTGTCACATGTCATTTAACACAGACATGTTTCCCATCTGTGCTGTTATGCATAACGTATAAGCGACAGCTCATGCTGCAATAGTTCAACAATCTAGCATGTTAAGTGGAAGGGCTTAAAAACACATCACGCTATACGTGATACAGTCAGAGACTAAATGAGCTGCACAGAAAGTGAAACCTACATGTAACACGGAGACGTCCCACTCAAAGAGACTCAACACATGGAGTTTGCTAAAGCTCCCTGTTTTCCCAATGTATGGCAAGCTCTACTCAATTAGTTTAAATCTCCTTTTATGGGTGTGTGACAAAGCTTACAAATCTATTCCTGCACTGTAGTCTCATTTTGTTGTCAGTGTCTCCTCCATATGCTGCAGCTGAGCAGTCTGCAACACAGCTAGACATGTGTGTGTCTACAGAAAAGAAACACCTGCATTCATGAATTTTTAATTCTGAATGCAAACACAGCAACATGCAAACAAGTTTTTCTGTTGAATTTCATAGCAGTCTGCTCTTCTCCCAGCGCACAACTTGCCTTTGCCTACATAAAATCACATCCACACTGCGTGTAAAAATCCTGCCAGTCGGAAGGCAGGATCATGCGCAATGCATGCAAAGCAAAAGGTCTTCAGAAGGAAACAACTGACCATCAAACCCACAATACCAGCCTGATCATACCTGACCTGTGTGTATCTATGTCCTTGAATATGTGTGTGCGTGTCTGCCTTTATGTTTACCACAGCCTCAGCTCATTTCACTTGGCACTACTGAACAAAGGAACAGATCATTATACAAAGAATCCATATGAGTGCAGTGTTTAAAGAACCCCCCAGAACTGAAGCTGCACATATTCTTTCAATTAGCAAACTCCAAATATTTATGGACTGAACATTTCCTCTCTGGACGGAAGGAGAGATCTGTGTGTGTGTCTCCTGTTGACTCACACTGGGGTGTATTGATCCCCTGGGCTTTTGCTTCATTTCACTTGAGCCACCATCCTTTAAAAGCACATCTGTCCGACATCTATACAGATGCTTTGTTTGGATCCGAAATAGTCACAAAGCAGCTACATGTCAAATATCCGGTACAAGAGGTTGGAGGACCACTGCATTAAACAATGATGCCACTGCTAACTAATTGGAGAACCCTAACTCCTCCCACATCCATCCATTTCCTTAATTCACCAAAGCATCACATGTGCCCCCAGATTCACCCCTCTTTTTACCTGGTGGGGACTGAAGCTGAGCTTAGTTGTGCAGGAAAGTGACCAAACCTCACCTCTTGTCTCTCTCTCACTTTGTGCAAACAGTGTCCTTGTGTTGTCTCTTATGGTCGCACCTAGAAGTTACTCATTGTCAAACGTTCATATATATTTGTAATCTATCTATCTAATATGAGGCAGCGGAGAAACAGGTGAGGCGCTAAGTGATGCAGACATCTGGCGAAGAATGGAGTGACCCGTGACTGTCCAACACTGTTCAGGACAGAGGATGTCAAATTCTGAACAGATTGTAAAGCCCTTTCAAGCAAATGTGTGATTTATGATATTATGCTATAAAAACAAAATTGATATGACTTGACTAGAAAACAGCCAAGACGATAATGTTCCCATATACATGTTGTCTGTTATCCTCAAATTATAAGGAACTTGTGTGGTCCTTTATCACATTCGTAGAAATTCAATACTATTGCAATGGCAGATTCTGCTGGGTCAATAAAGAAGGTCCGAAGGATCACAGTAGGAATTAAGATGTGAGCATTTCTCAGTCATCCCCTCCCCCAAACACACACACTCACACCCACATGCGTACTATGACAAATAGCCTTTGACGTGTCTCTGTGAACATGGCACGGAAGGGTCCACTCTCTTCCCAGTACAGATAAAGCAGTGGAATCTGCCAGTGGACGGGACTCTGAGTGTCTCCTCAATGGATCTGGATTTTTACATCCAGTCAATCGTTTCACCGTTCTAGTGGTGGTCAGGAAAAATCCACCGTACATTCACCACAGTGGTATTTCTGTTTCAGTCTGTTTGAAGTTGCCGGGTAATACAATTATTGCAGTTTCATCGTGTTTACCTAACCCCAGGCTTTACATATCACCTGACTCAGTGTCTTAAATGTGCAAAAGAAGGAGGGTGAAGGGACACACAACTAGTCTCTCTGAAACCAGCCAAGCAGAAGGCTTGATTTAATTACTTCCAGCTACAACTGAAGTCTAGGTAATGAATTTGTAAATCAGGTTGTGTACAATCTTAAAAGAAAAGTGTGAAAATTTCATTGCAAAGAGAAAGTCATTTCTTTTTCCACAGGACAGAGAAAGAGGAACTACTAAATGCACTCCTTTTTTTCACAGAGAGGCTCTATTAGTGTAATGTGCTCCTTTCTGGCTTATCAACAAATACAGTAGGTCAATGAAAACACACACACACACACACACACACACACACCATTTCTGTAAAGGTTCTCAGTCATCCAGGTCATAGTTATCCAAAGAAGGTTAAAATCAAGGGCAACCAGACTTTGCTGAAGGTACTTTCATCCTCATCTGAAAGACTTCTTCAGTTCTGACTGACTGGTAGGAAAACTCAGCTATTCAACCTCTGTGGGATTGTTGTCATGATCGATACCACTGGCTCGTGCTCCTGGATGTTGTAAAGACAGAGCCCCCCGAGGCAATGTCTGAATGACCATCATTGGCATCCTCACCTGAAAGTTTCCCTGAAAGTGATGCAAGGACCGAATTATAAGTGGGGGACAAGTGGTGTCTCTGACCCCCTCCACTGTTAAGCGACACACACCATCATCATCTGTGATGTGTAACGAACACTGTCATGTCCATGTAGAATAAAAGAACATTTGGGAATGACATGTGCAAGTATTTTTTTTTTGTCTTTTTGGGCAGATTATTGTTGCCCAGCAGCTGCAAAGAATGTATACGTAGGTCTGCCTCTCAAACTCAAGGCCTCTGATGACACAGATTACACAGAACACAACACAGAAACCTATTATGAGACGGCCATTAGCTCTTCTAGTCCTTTGCCTGGATTTTAGGGAAGGTGACCAGATGTTTGACCAGGACTGATATCTGCAAAATACTCAAATCATGCACTTTTCAACAAACATCCTAGTTTGTGAATTTATTGACTGAGGTGTCTATAGGAGGGTGACTCAGTCATAGCTAGAGAGTTGTCATTTACAACATCAGCCGGTAATTGTGTTCTTTTTCACAATTTGATTTTGGGGTGGGAACAATACAGTAAGCCTGCTAATTTGTTTCAAGACTGAAACCAGGATGTAAGTGGTTAAGGTGAATACCATGTGAATGTAGTATACCTGTGGACACATGGTTCGATACCAGAGACCTTTGCTGAACAGTAGGCTATTTAACATACTCCTGTCACTACCATCAAAGGCATGTTTTAAATGTGACTGAGTGATTGCAAAGCTTGTGATCTTCCAGTGTCAGCCAGATTAAAGCTGTTTGTCCTTTTGCAGTGATAAATTCCCTGTCAGTTTTGTTAACAGTGAATTGTGTTCATATTTGTATTACCAGGGGGGACAGTTGACAGAGTTCTGCTTGCTGAGTGGAAGATGTGACAGATGCCTTTGGATGTGAGTCTGACATGTCCAGGGTTGAGTTATTCTAAAGAAGTCTTCTGGGTTTTGAAATGAGCAGGAGAAGCAGAGGACAAGAATCCATATTATTGCAATAAACTTACACCATCCTTGTTTGTTCAGATGGTTTTCCTCGAGGTGAAGAGGGAGATCAAATGGGCACATCAATTATAAATTGTCCATAAATGTTACTGATGTGGGGCTCGCTCTCTGGATTGTAGAATAACTCAAGTCTATGGCTCCAGTGGGCCTTTGGACAAACATAACGGTGATGGTGGACAAAAAAGACTAAATGCTCCCTCTGCTCTGACTGTTTCACGGAGCTGATTCTGACTTTTAGCCTCTCTCAATCGACACCAGACACAGGCAGCTCGACCATCCCAAAACCCAGAACGTCAGTTTTTAAGGAATAGTTCAACAGTTTGGAAAATGTAGACGGATAAGAAGATTGCTATCACTCTCGTGTCTCTCTGGTTAACATGAAGCTGCAGCAGCTGGTTAGCTTAGCTTAGCATAACAACTGGAAACAGGGGGGAAAAGCTAGCCTGGCTCTGTCCATAGGTAATAAAATCTGCCTACCAGCACCACTAAACCTCATTAATTTACACGTTTTATCCTAAGTATAGTTAATAAGCATAGTTCCCAAAATGTAAGCGCTCTCAGTCACATTTCACTTTGTTAGTCTACTACCATGACAGCACACAATGAAATTCACCGATCCTCCAAAGTTGCATAAAATGTCTGGCCACATATAAGAGTCAACATATGGGCTGACACAATTTTTGGATATGACTTCAGCTCACATACATCATTTTGGTCTTTCAGAGAATAACATACACAAGAGACCCTAAGATCTCTTCCTCTTTGTCTGAGTGAAGTGGACAGGGAAAAGTAAAGTCAACCCTGATGGCTCACACATGTGGCTGTGAAAAGGCACCCAGACAGTGTATTTCAAACAGCAAAGAGGAGGTCTTCAGGAAGAGGGACACAAGGAATGACTGAGTGTATAAATATGCACAAGGTGTTGATGTAGTGCTGAGCATATACGCACAGTCATGCATAGGCTACATCCTCCTAAGCAAAGCACTGCATGAGGTTCTTGCAGTGCAAACATTACATTAGTAACACGTGTGGTTGTGTCTTCAAGCGTCATGCTCCATCATCCGGAATGTTGGTAGAGGTTTTAATGCAAACCTTTTGACATGGCTTATGGTCACAAAAAAACCACGCAATAATTTGCTTGTTTTTATCCTGTACTAATGCAACCTCTGACCTTTCAGTCTGCAACATTTCGTCAGTAAAGTCTGTATATGTTCAGGGGATTTAGAGGGTTTTAAAGGACCAGTTCACTCCAAGACACTACTTTTTCCCCCCTCTATCCGTAAGTGTCAATTCAGGTCATTTCAGTGTGATTTTCAAATGTTTCACCTTTCCACCTTGCCCAAATTTCTACCATGTGGGGTCATTTCTTTTTTGAGATGTTGCTCTTGAGTCTTTCAAGTGTATTTTTTGTTTCTTTGAGATAAACTGAACTACAGCAAACTCTATACAAGTATCTCATATAGTCACACGGAAACCATTTAAGTTGAGAAATATTGTAGCTTTCTGGGTTAGAAGTTTTAATGTGCTTCTGAGAAAACAGACCTGTCAACATGTTAGGTCTTATCGTTCCCATGATGACCTGACAATGCAAAGAGCTACTCAGGTGGACATTATGTCCTCTTAAGCCTAATGTCAGTATATTTACATATTTTTAAACAGCTGTCATATTTTATAGTGTTGAAATAAGGATGACATATCCAGTCTGACCATGATACTTTAAACATGCTCCAGCAGTACGCATAATTGCTACCTATAGTCTGGATCTACACTGGTGTGAACAAGACTTAAAGTCTACAGCTATGAGCCTTGTTAGGCACAGCAACAAAAAAACATGTACAACTGATACAAATGGGAATGTCTTTACTTTTGCAGGTATTTAGTCATAAACCAAAGTACTGGACAAATTAGGGTAAACTGACACCTTTTTAACATCCCTTTAACAACAATGTTTTCAATGTGGTTGTTTCCTTGTATTATTTTATCTGCTGTCTGTCCTATATATTGCCTTTAATTGTAAAGTCTATTGGGACCATGCTGCATCTTTATTCTGCACTTTAAATAAAAAGTGATTGACTGGCTTGGAACCATGAAAGTTTGTGCAAAATGTTATGCAAGATAAATCCTACCAATATAGCAAGAGGAAAAGTCAGGGGGATCACCAAAGTCACCAGGCTCCATCTCTGGGGACCCCAAATGCCAAAATTTCATGGCAATCCATCCAGTACTTCAAGAGATTTTTCGGTCTGGACCAAAGTGGTGAACAGACCAAATTACTTTGCCATCCCTAAAGCCACGTTGTTAGCATGGGAAAGCAAATGTACGCGATTGATGCTCTTGCTAGATCTTCTAATTTATCTTCATTTATCTCCAGCTCACAGAAATCACACAGAACACACTTAGTAATTTTAATATATTTGTATATATTCATATATTACACATTTAATACAGGCACAATGAGAAATCATAAAGTAGAGACAACAGTGGCTGAGATATTGGTAAAAATGTACAATTTATGAGAATCATTTACACAATTTTGCTCTCTTTAAACTCTGTTTAATACAACATACAAAGAAAGAAAGAATGTGAAAGTGATGAAAAGAGGAGCATTGTAAGTTTATTTTAAAGGTTTTGTAGGGGCAGCAAGAACCAGCTTGCTTATATTGGAATACAATTACAGAATCTGTGTGCTATATTTTTAATGCCTTCGGCTCATCTGACCAAAAACACTGATATATTTAGGAGAACACTGTACAAATGTCTGGTGCTACAATTTGAGGATTTTATGTAAACGCAATCATTTCAACTACCTTCAAACATTTGGCTGATTAAAGTTCAGAGAGAGATACAAAATTTAAATTCAACAGACACAATTTAAATGGAAATTTCCATCATCCATTTAAGATTAATGTCTGCCTTATTTTTAAAGGCATTACATTAAAACATTAAAAACTGGTCATTACATGTAATCACCCTGGCCAGATATGAATGAAATCAAGTAAATGATCAGTTTAGACATTAGATGAATCATGTACTGCCAAGTTAAAAACTATATTGAGCCATGTTCTATAGCAGTGGACAGAGAAAACAATAAAGAAAACAAAAGCCTGATGTGACAAATGATTTCCTAAAATTGTATCTGAGAGGTCAGTTGGCCATGTGATGCACAGTGTATGAAACTCCAGCCCTAAAAGGTTTTTATCATATTTCAATCACAGCTTCCAGGCAACTAATCGCATCTCCAGACATGTCACATACCAACACATTAACCAATTTAAGGACCATTACATGGTTGAGGTCAATGAAAAATCTCCTACACAACATACAAATACTCAGTCAACAAGTATAACAGCCTCTCCAGCAGCAGCCTTCATTAGTAAAAGACAAGAATGAATGAACCAAGAGTCAAATGTGGCTATGTTTCATCCATCCATCCATCCATGTTCAGCACCCACTTTTACTGTTTATAGTTTCAAAAGGCTGAAGCTTATCCCAGCATGCACTGGGTTGAAGGACAGTACAGGTCAGTAATCTATCACAGGGCAATGGCAGTACTGTGTCATAATATCTAACCACTTGCAACAGCACTGGATAACTCAGTGCCACGTAGTTGTGATAAGGCATATCGATCATTAATTTGGCCTTACTGTGCTACTGCTCACATCATGTACTGGACAATGAGTGTATGAGGTGAAGGTCAATTGACAAGCACTGAATAAAAAAGACAAGATATAAAAGAGTTCAATGATCAAACTCAATCACAGAAGGCAAACATGACTTATTCATTTCTGGAAGACAGTTAGGTTGTAAAAAGAGGAGACATTTTCCCTTCAGCATCCAAATAAAGGCGTAACAAACACAACTGGCACATTGTTGGTGCAATTCTCATGAACTGTGCTGTAGTATAAAAAAAGATGAACGAAAAGTTAAGTTCAGGCACATTTCTCCATTAATAGGGCACAAAAATGTGATTAAAAAAGCACTGCCAGTTTGTAAAAAAGGCTGCAAGTTAAATTTGGGGTAGCGTCCCTTGATTTTTCTTAAAGCATCTAACATTTAACACAATGTTTTACAGTCAAGATTGCTGAGCAAGTTTTGTTTTAATGAAGAATAAAAATTAAGGGCTTAAAAATGTTTGAAAATACTAACCATGACTGAAAGGGGGATTTACAAGGGGAACAAATTCTAAAAAGACCACACTGATCACAGACCCCATTGGGGGTGATTGTTTTAAAAAAAACATGCATTTTTATCACAGAGAAAAGTAGCTTAAATCTGGAAACCCAAATTTGGGTAAAACATTTATGCTTTTGTTGCCTATTAATCTATAGTATAGGAGGAGGCACTGAGGTCACATCTTTTTTTGCATTTGTCTGAAAGCACTTCATTGTTATTTTAAAGGTCAAGTGTGTGAGCGCTGTTTAAGACAGATTCTACCTTAATTGCACATGATCAATAAAGACAAATTGTGAGGAGAAAGAGAGGAAGTCAGTAAACAAAACAGATTTGAGAGTTGAGTCAGAGCTGGTCGAGCAGAATATTTACAATTCGGATGGAGAAGGTTGTTATATATTCCTTATAGGCTCTTGGAAAATGAATATACAAGAAAAAGAAGGAACTGAAAGATTGTTAGTGCACTTTTTTCTTTTTTTTATGATTTCAAATACAATATAGATTTATATCTAATCCATAAATTGTTTCTGACTATACAAAAGTGAACTGATCAGAAAGCATTATTAGACTTCATATCTACACATTTCCTGAAAGCTCATCTTAATGTCTTTTTTTAACAGTGTTCAATACTCAGTGCTGTTTAATTATAGTGAGATTCTCGCTTGCACGATTGTGCTCAGATGGACCCAGAGGTTCAGGAAGCCTTGCAAAGTTGCCAACTTCTGTGTCAAGCGAGATTTTTTTCCTTTCAAACCAGAGTAGTAGGTCACCTCAGCAATCTGCCATATAACGTCCTAAAAAAAACAACAAAATATGTGCAGTTTGAGATGCTGATGCACTGGAAAAAAAACAGTATCAGGTACATGTGGATGATCAAGTCTACTACATACCTGTGGCAAATCTCTTCTTGTTGAGAGAAAGTCTGTATCCGGTCCCCTGCAGCTCCATGTCCACTCCTGACAGGGTACTCCCCTCACTCATAAACTGCACAGCCAGAGTGGAGGGGTTCGATGGTCCATCTGACAGTTCAAACTTGGCCCTCAGGGACCCAGCACCTGCGGTCAAACACAAACAAATACACTCACTTGCCAATAACAGATCGAGCTATTTGCCTCACCATATACTTTCGCCAAAAGTATGATTTTGAACAAGTTGCCTCTACTTGCAAACAAAGAAGAGAACAATTATTTACCTTCATTTTCAGACTTTTCGGAGATGTCATTCAACTTCCACAGACACTTATTCTGCTCTGCATTCCTAAAAAAAGAAAAAGGAATAACAACATAAGCCGCTTCTGTTTAACTAAGAAAGAATGTTTTTCAGTGTCTTACACCTTTATACCTCCTGATATAACAATTGCCACATCTTACCAGATGGAGTTGGGCAGAGAATGCACATTGGTGACTCCTCCATCAACAGGCACTAAAATCTGTACATTGGTGAGCGGACCAGGGGAGGCCATTGACTCCGGGTTGTATCGGTAGTCTACCCGCAGGTCTGACGTACTCTGTGTACACTTCCAGTATATGGCCAGGTTGAGAGGAGTGGAATGGATCCCATCAGACAGCACCTGAACACAGCAGTATAATGGAATTGTACAACTAAATATGAACAAAGCTGTTTTGAGTTTGAGCAATTTGCGTGATTTTCCCAGTATCCTCTGCTGCAATGAGACTTATATTTCACTACCTTTCTGGATTTCTTGATCTACCACATGTAAACTAAAACTTTATATGTCAAGAGAGCTCTGAAAAAGCAGAGTCTGTTTATGGGGTGGCAGGACGGCTATTAGTGGTTTGTGGGCTAAATGGAGGGCCAGGGCCTGAGGCTTGATGACAGTGTGGCCGAACCAGCTGAAGAATCCTGAAACAAAATATTTAACCCCTACTTACTCAAAGGCTACAGCAGTTTTTGGCTGATAAGTAAAATGAGAAATTTCTCATTTAAAAACAAATATATATTGACAAATTTTAGATATCTCAGATCTTAAAGACACTGGTGATTTGCTATGTGATGGTTTTTGTTGTGCAAGCAGCACATACTGATTCATATTGACTACGAGAATTGCAATTTCCAAAACATTCTAACAAGTCAGGTGCGAAAGGATCAGAAACTCTTGACTGGGAAGCACACTGTCCATCCCTTGTACTGTATTAACAATGTTTTGGTCCTCAGGCGAAGTTCATATAAACAAACAGCACCATACATATAAGCCGCGTTTCCACCAAAAGTACAGGGGAAAAAGTCCCCGCATTTCTTTTCAAGGAACTAAAAGGTTCCTTCAGCCCACTGTTGTGTTGGTTTCCACCGCGGTCTAAAGACCTGCGAAGATAAGGCAAATTAACGAGCTGACGTACGCTGTAGGCCCGTAGGCCATACAAAGTGATGCACAGACATCATTATTTGTAACTAGGCCCACTATCCATGAGCAACATTTATAAATGAACATCAGATTTGACTAGAATATAATGAAAAACTATAGGCTATGCTTGACCATTAAAAAGCTTTTTTGTGTGGGAGTATTATGGAAAGACACATGATAAAGTTTGTTAGTTCTTAAAATAACTCCAGCACAGAGAAAGCAACACAAAAATAAAACTTACAACAGTTTGGAAGGTTATTAAAACATTTCCAGCTGACAAGAGCTGCTGATCAGCTGTTACCTGAGCGTCGGAGGAACGTGATTTTTAATGAGCTATTAATTAGACCTGCCTGCTGTAATCAGCTGTTCCGCTTATTTTCGGCGAGACTTGTGTGCTATCTGACTGTTGATTGTGATTTATTGGTTTGCAAACAACGGTGGAAAAAAGGAGCAGTCGTAGACTAACATCCGACATGCTCCTTATTTAAGGCCAGTAGCCTCTACTTGCCAATTCAGAAATTCACTGTAAGGCAAGGTTATAACTATCTGAACATTATATATTGTAAATACTATATTAATATTATAGACTAAGGCTGCTTAAAGCTGGAGGATCATCAAATAGAATTCTGACAAAACACAAACAGCACTATAATAATGTCATCTTATTTCTCTTTAACTTTGAACATGGCTATCAAAAGTAGAATATTTCACATTAAAAAATACATTCTGCACTGACAATATTTCTGTCCTGCTGACTCCCCTCGTGTTCTTTACTCAGTCTGAAGGGTGAAGCACTTAAGGAAGTATGTTTTTAGAAAGCATTCTTTAACTACAGTTGTTTTATTTGGATTATGTTCTAGGCTCAACATCGGCTGACTGACCTGGTATTTTAAGATGTCCACATTATAGTAGGAAGCTGAAGGATTCTGATCTGAGGCTTTTCTGAGGTAGGACGTCAGTGCTTGCATGTTGAACCAGAAGTCCTTGGAATTTGAGTCACTTTGGGAAGGATCACTAGATGAAAGACAAACAGTCAGAAGGACGCGCACACACACACACACACACAAATCTGAGGCTCAATTATTCATCGCTCTTCTTGGCTTTGTGTAAAGCTCCAATAGCTTGGAAAAAATTACCCTGTTATATCAAACCAGCTACTAAATCATGAATTCCATTTGATTCAATTAGTCCAACCATGTGGTCTAACCAAGAGGAACCAGAGCAAGGCACATAAAAAAAGGATGTTATTTTTCTTTACTTTTTGGATAAGTATATGATCTACTTACATAATGTTTTTTCTAAACTCACAGTTGGTAAAGTAGAACCAATACATTTTGTATCATATTGGAACTTGAACTGCAGGTGAGGTTTGACTGAGACTAAAGAGGTGAGAAATAAAATAAGGCATGTTAAATGAAGCAGCTGTTATATAAAGTTTGCTGTTCTTTTTTTGAAGGCGTGAAGAGAAGAGAAGAGACACACACTGTTGAGAATCTGGCTGTTAAAGTCTGGTGGAAAATACTTCCCTGACAGCTTAATGATAGGTTTATGTCAGATTACTAATTGAATTTCCTCTCACTGACGCAGACTACATTTCCTCGTATCATGGAGTCCAAATCCCTCATTCACTTAACCACGACCTTGACAAGTTATCAACTCATCAGCTCTGCTAAGTTCTTCACTTTCAACGCAAACCATCCTGTTTGTATTTTAGCTGTTGTGATGAATTTCTCTGGACACCTCACCTGTATAATAGCTGTTGGTTTGGTAGGATCTGTTCCAACCTGCCGGTGTTCTTCAGTTTGAAAGTTAGCACGGCCGGGGAAGGGTTGGTGGTAAACACCTTGATGATGCCCATGGGGAACGACAAGGTCATGTCTCCTGTAATCTTCACAATGCACCTGTGGAATGTAGCCACTTGAATATGAATAAAGTCTTTTATAGCATCTGTTGATTATTATTTCCAATAAATCGATAATTGTTTAAGTTATCAAACAAATGAAACTGTGAAAATTGACTTATTCAGATCACTTGTTTTGTTTGATTAACAGTCCAAAACCCAAAGATATTCTATCTTCTTCAATAAGCAATGATAAACAATTGAAAAACATATCAAATCTGGAACTGGAAAATAGTTGGCATTTTTGTGTGAAAAATGGCACACAATTAATAAATTATCAAAATCATTGTTCACTTTATTTCGCTCATGTAATCTAATTACCACTATAACCGAGTACAAAGCTACATTGGACATATCTGGTCTAATTTTGGATTGTATTTTAGCCCACTAATCCTTAAAATATTAAGATCTAACCAAGGCATATTTACAATTAACAATTAAATGTATTGGCTTTAGGTCCCAGGTGTAACACATTGTCCATTTCCACTGTCTTTATATACATATTTATGTTTCTATAGTCTAATATAGATCCAGTGTTTTAACAAGTTCTGGGACAAGAAGAGTCTTCCTTTAGTTGCGGTCAGCCCAGGCTGTGGCAGTAACGGCCTACAGCGGGTCTCAACCTCGCACCGTGTCTCCGCTGCATTGCTTATGAAATGTTCCATTTGCTAATCCCTGCAAAAATAAGCCTTTTGCACAGCAGCAATTTAGCAGCAGTTAACCAATAAAAGGCTGTATGTTCTCTCTGCCCCAGACTATAATCTGCCCCATGTAGGTTATCCACTTTGAAAGAATGGTGTCAGACTAACGCAAAACATTCCATACATGCAAAGCGAGAAGGGGGAGATACACTCTGCAAAATGCACAACCAAAGGTCCACTGAGAGTAGTGCGCATTGCAGTACAACACCATGTACTGTATAACTCATAACACGATTGTGTGTATGCGTGCAGGTCCATGTCAGTGCCTTTAAGCAGCAAGAGGTCATGTGAGACTCACTTAGTGGGATCAGCTCCTTTGAAGTAAGCATTAACCGACTCTGTGAAGGCCACGGCAATGGGCAAAGCATCTTGGGATCCCAGGGTCACAGGGCTGGGACCGCGAGATGTCCCTAAGAATGAGAAAGGCACAGAGTTTGTAATGTACAGTCTGTTGATGCAGACAGCAGATCAGACTTTTATAACAGGGGAGTCCTAAGCCCAGAATTAGGAAGGTTTGATCATGCAGATGCATTATATAATTTTGAATATTTGTATTAATGCATTTCATTAACTCAAGTCAATCATACATTGCAAATAAGAACACTCTGTTATTTTCAGGTATTTGTTTAGGGCAGACTGTGTTACAGTCACTTAATAGCATATTAAAGGTAAACCAAACAAAAGATGTACCAGTCAAATCATTCATTACTTCATTATTTTAACAATCATATCTTTATAATGTTAGAAGTTGATGCAGGTGATAGTAAGACAAATGTGAGAAAAGGTGAATACGGAGAGCACAAAAGACAGATAAATGCAATCACTGCAAAGCAAGATATCCAGCTGTCCATCCAGGCCATCCAACAGACTGGTGTTAGTTTTAGTTAAATACAGAGGAGAGTCCTCTTGTATGAACTTCAACCATACCTGCTGGTGTTTCACACCGCTTCTCAAAGGTAGGCAGCTTCGCTATAAACACATCATCCTCTTTATGCCAAATTAAAGGCATAAAGAAGAAAAGAGGAGATAAACAAACCCAGAGAGCACAAATGTGATGAAAGGTGATTCTAAGCACAGTTGTAAGCCACTTCCTAAACGTGTGATGGTAGCAGGTGAGCCCTAAGCTGACGTGATTGCACAGAGATGAATGAAGAGCTAACAAGCCCTAATGATGACATTCTTAGCACCTGTGAAAAGTATGTAGAGTAGAGATGATGACGTAAGCACGGAAAGGAGTGTCTCTTAGGGAAAGGCAGACTCACTTTGACTTAGCAGGAAGAAAGGAGAGAGGGAGAGCAGCTCTGGCTCTGGGGAGGAGAGGGGGAGAGTAAAGGTGTGCTCAGCTCCTAGGTGTGGAGTCAAGGAAGGAAGGAGAGAGGGGTGAGAGACAAGCACATTGTGTGCGTTGCCGAGACAAAAGGTATGTGGCAGGTTGGCGAGGAGCTGAAGTGAATAAATATACATATGCACATGGGAGGCAGCTTACCAACAGTGGGGGTGTTTCCAGCGCTGAGTGAGGCATTAGAGGACAAGGAGGAGGAGCTCTCTGCTCGGGCGAGTGGTGCAGCAGGAGGAGGGCTGGCGTTAGATGTCTTGGGTGGGCTGAACGGGCGTACCTGAGTGAAGGGAGTCAGGCAAATAAGATCTGAATGTAACAGCAATAAAGGTTGTGTTTAACATATAGGGATGTTGTAATTACTCACAATCTCATTGATTCCTGATAGTTTTCCAGCGGGGAGTTTGGGTCTGGAGGAGGGTCGTGGTGGAGGCACCAGGGCTCCAGCTGTTAGCGGCGTCGTAGGTCGGTTTGGAACAGGTGCTACACAGAGAAACACATGACATTTTGTTACTGGTTAGTGATAGTAAGAAATCATGAGAACTGGGTACAAACAAAGAAGTATACATGTGTTGCAGCGGTGCTTCATTCAAGCAGATGCAAAATCATCATGCATCAAGACCTGTGGTATAAAAACCATAACAGCAAAACATCTTTCCAAGCATGGAAATCATAACAGGAATTAAGTAAAAAGCACAGCACAAAATTAATTTTCACAAAAAGAAACTCAAAGACAAACATGTCGCATACAAGGCAGTGAGTTAGATATGCATGTCTGTAAAATAAAAAAAACGAACACAGAAAACACTCAAAAATATGCAACTGTCAACTTAAAATATGAAATAAATGCACAATATGAGAACAGTGTTAAAATTAAATTAAATATAAAACTGAAACTCCAAACCTCAGGCACAAGACATGTCTCTAGCATCAGTGATAATGTTACCATTAAATATTTTGCTTGATGGAGCTGCTGCCATCGCCCTAACTGTAATCCCAGAGAAGACATCAGAGAAACAGGGGTTGCCATCTTTGAAGTAGTCTTCAGCAGAGTCATCAGAGAGGAAGCGAGTTGACCTGCCAGAGCCAGAATTAGGCCTTTGGAGCTCCTTCACAGGCGGCCCTGAGTCCTGGCGGAAAGGTGGAACGAAATTATCACTGAAGGCGATCCACTGGCTCTGAGACCAGGACACGGAAGAGAAGGCGTTGATGCTCTTTGGAGGACTGGCAGCAGCCGAGCTTTTGATGGGGTCGACTGGCTCAGTTGGCAGGGTGATGGGGGCGCTCTGGGCCCTCGCTGGTATGGGCTTGAGTGCTTGGAAAGGGTTTTCCGGTGAGTCCCAGGGAGAGGATGTGGACGAAGAGAAAGAGGAGACATCTTTGGACTGCTGGCTCTCTGCCAGAGGAGGAGAGGGCTGCCGTTGTGGCATCGTCTCAGCTGAAGGGTGGCCATGTGATTGACAGAGGCGATAAACATGACAAATGCAAAAGTATACTGACAGACACAAATGACAAAACTCAACTTTATTCACAAATGTATATAAAATAATGAGAATTTGCAATACAAGAATAGCAGACGCATATGCTTTGTTGCTATTACCTTCAACATATGAAAAAATACTTTTCTATTCGTATTTGTTAGATTAGAATTTGTCTGTCTGTTGTATCCTAGGATGAAAACTAGAGTGTATACTGGTTGCGAGAACACATCAGTTCGCTGAAGCATAAGAGAGAAGCTGGTGTAACCGATCATGCAGTGGTGTCATATCTCTGTATTGTCCATATGTAACTTAACTTGCTGCTTTCTAATACAACTTGGTTCCTGAACTGCTGAGCAATCAGTTTGAAAACAGATGGGTCAAACATCCCTTTAGCGTTTACACTACTGGGAAATATTCAAAGCTAGTGATGTGTCACTGGGTTACATAACACTAGTGTATCTGCACTCACACTCTCAACCCTGTGTCATATAAGGTGGGAGGTGAAGGAGGCGCTGTGATGAGTTAGACTGTCTAAAGACAGAATTTCATGGAGCTAAAATAATGTTTCAGAAAAAGACGTTAACTAATAAGTAACTAATCCACTGGTATATGCTATGTACAGTAGGTATACTGTCTTATGTTAATTCTTTTACTGTTAATTTGTATTAATTAGTGATTGGTGTTCCTCTTTGTTGGTAATTATTTTCAAGGCTGTGCCCAAAATGGAGCATCAGTTTGATGATTTGGCCTGTTTGGATCAGTTGTCTCATGTTGCTTTCATAGCGGCACAACTGCATTGCTGGTTGCCTTTTATATCTGACAAAATCTGCTAACTGGCATTCAAGAAAATATAAAACATCTCTTTTGTACTGTTTGTGATGGATAGTAATGTTTATATCTTTGCTAGGTGATTACAATATATTATTTACCCCCTTTAATTGTTTCATACACAGTATGCATATGATTATGTTTCATAGCTACATAGCTCATGACATAGAAGCAGCAGTATTTTCATTTAATCTAAGCTTTGTAATATTACTGTTTGAGAACTTAAACCTTAAGAGACATTATTAAATATTTAGAGAGTGACTGGGACTTATTTTTCTACAATTCCTACACATTTTCTTTGTTGTAACATGGAAAGGGACTCACAGGGAGTATGTGTATCCACTGTAACTCACAATGGGTTTAAAACACATGCAAAGTCTTGTGTAACCATAGTTTTGGTGTCAATATCCTTACAGAAAGACCATGTATATTTGACAACTAAAATGTCAGCAATACATGTGCAAAGCAATGATTCTGATTTTAGATGCATATAAAGGACGAATGTCCCGATAATTAAAGCACAAGTCACTCGTGTTCACATGCATTTGAAGTGAAGAATAGTTTGATGGAAATTATGTGTTTTCCCGTTGCCAGAACAATGCTCTAAGGTTTACACAAAGAGAAACAAAAAATCAAACATAAATATCATGCAAAACGGTAGCTAATGAATGCTTCACATTCTCCTAACAAGATTTGCTTTAAATTGCTGTCTGACAAAAGGAGCACACACATTTTACCTGATGCCTCTGGCAGACAGACGCCCGAGTCATTCATCAGAAAAGATGGAGATGGAGGGATTGAAAGGAAGATAGAGGCAAGGTCTAACAAAAGAAGTTAACATAATAAATCAAACCAATAAAACAATGGCATTGTAATAAAATAAAAAGGAAAAAAACACATATATATACACATATACACACACACACACACACATACATACAACAGATGAAAATGCACAAAAATATCAATGAAAACAAAACAAATAAACAAATAAATAATTACAACATATGACAAATAATAATTGAACAAAATCCACACAGTTTGATCTCTGCCTCATTCAGTAAGAGTTTAATCTTTTTAATACCTCACAGACTAGACTTGTTAAATATGTCATGTGTGCATTTAGAGCTGGTAATACTGCTACACTGACATAAAGAGATTTAACAGGCTGTAAGCGAGGACTTAATTCTCATCATCGTATCTTAATCAGGCCACTGTACGATGCTCTTTTGACTTTTAAGTCGAGACCTCTGACACTAACGAGACACTGTTTGACAACATACGTGCCAGTGGGCTTTATGGCCGACCCCCCTGACCTCAGCTAGGTGCCAATTAACTGTGGATTACGCTTAACCTAGGCAATGGGTCAGTGCTAATGTCACTATGTTTAAACACTGGTGTCATGCACACAAAGCCATGAGAATCAAACTATCAACGCAGTGTATTTCAAAAACATTGAGAGTAAAGTAAAACAAACACTCAAATGCCTCTTAAGGGGTATGACTGTAGCAACTTCAAGAAGATTTATATGAAACAAAAAAGTAAGGCAGGCATAGCTCACATATTTATTATAGAACGGCAAACTTATGTGTGCAGATACTATTAAAGCATAGAGAAAAGTCGAGAGCTGTACAAAACTGAAAACTGATCTAAAACACAAACTTCAAAATGGGATAAAAATAAAGCCTGCCATTTTAGTTCCCTGAAGTTGAATGCTCTGTTGAACTTAGGGGTCAGTTCCTCCATCTGGGACTGCCCTGTTAGAAAAGGCTTCCAATTGAGTAGCTCAGAAAAAGAAAGAGAGGAAAGAAGAGAGACTACATAGTGCATATAGAGGTGATAAGATAAAGGAACAGAGAAAACAAAAAGGGCTAGATCACCGTCCTAACCAAATGAGTAAAAACCAGAATGCTTGCTGAGTGGTTACTCCTTAAAGTTACAATCTTTCAGATACTCATGAAATCAAACCCCATTTTTGATGCCATCTATGGTCTGCATTTTGTTTGCAATAGCCATTCAATGTATTTACATGGTCTAATTACATCTCTATATAGTATAGCAGAGTCACCATTTCTGCATCCAATTCTACATCAGCATGAGGGATCCAAAACAAAGGATGCATGCATGTAATCTTGCACAATTTTTCTTGTTGATATCAACCCGCTGATTACTGTACTCTCTTTACACCGTGTCACACCTGGGTTAAATTACTGCTTATGCAAACCGGACATTCCCTGTCGCCAAATCCGATCCAACCAAGACTGAAATCTTAAGGATTACAACATTACAGTAATGTCTCATTGGTGGTGCATATTTTTTCAGGGATACTGTATGCACAGGGATTAAGATTAAATTAGGCCTCGGGGCTTACCTGTTGATGAGGACACAGAGAAAGAGGAGCCTGCTGCGAGAGTCGGGCTGAACGGGTCCAGAGACAGAAGGTCGTTGTTAGCCAGTCTGCCAGAGAAGAGAGTGAGAGACAGACAAGTCAAACTTAAGCAAAACGTAGCACAATTAGCTAAAAAGAGCCAAAAAAACCCAAACACAATAGACAATTAAAAAAAGAGCACTTTCATACATACTCATATGATGTGGGCACTCTGGGTTTTGCCAGCTCATCACCTGCAGAGAGAAAAACAAACAGAAAATTAGATCCCACAGACCTGCACAGAGTGATGAGAGAAAATATGCTTTCACAGCAACTACAAAATAAAATACAAACCCAACACAAGAGGTTTTCACTGGCTAGTATTCAAAGACATTTGCCAAAAGGCATGTTTAAACTACATTAAACCAGAAATATAGACTGAGGTTTTCGACTCAAGTGAGAACCACCATCTGCCATGAAAAGTCATATAAATATATTTGCAGTAAGATTTGGGTTAGATACAATATTTTTCTTTTTTCTGCCTAACAGTAAATCCTTAAGATCGTACCCAAATACTGCAAAAAGTTAACTTCAAATGTGTTTTATTGTGATGGTAACACTTTACAACAGGGGATGGGGTGATTTTGCAACGAAAGATAAAATCAGGCATTACTTTGTTCTTTGATGCCCCTTTCTAAAGTGTTACAATACATTGCAAAGATCAATATAAGCAACCTGAAGCAGCGTTTAAGCACCAGAGGTAAGCAGATATGAGAGGACCAAATATAAAAAACATGTATGTCTGTTCTGAAAAAATAAAGTTTGCAGGGAGAGAACACAGTGTCAGTGACGTTAGCTTGTGTCAACCGGCTGCAGCAGCTGTGTGAAAGGCTCCGATGAGGGGGCAGAGATGAGTGCTGTGGCAGATATTTTGAGGGGAGGGGAAGGCAGGGTTGTAGGCCAACTACGGTAGTGAAAACATACTCACCAGGAGCCTTAGAGCTTAATGGAGATACTCCTGTGATCCCTAAGTGTATGTAGAGTATACATCTATCAATGCAATACCTTTTGTAAATTTATCACAACTATATCAGTGTTTCAGCTGCAGAATGTGTGGATTATTACCATTTAGGTACATAGAAACACAGAATGTGAGTGTGACAACCCATTAACTTTTAACTTTCTGCATCAACATTCAGTGAATTTTAAACTAGACCTCATGGAGCATGACCTATAGGAATAACTATTCTTAAAGTATTTCTCAAGCACTTGGGCAAGAAATCAAACACAGCAAACAAAAACAAAACGTCCCTTCTACTGTGCCTGTTTGCAGAATGGAAAAAAGATAATTTCTGACATTTCAAACTATAAACAGCTAATTAAGCAATTAATCTTATTTGTACCATAGGAGGGAATATCCCTCAAACTCACATTTACAGAAAAGAACAGTTATTTACTTTTTCTTGTGATATGTTGGTTTTGGCTAGGTTTCTGGATTTTCCTTTTTTAAAGACAACCTCTTTAAAAACAACGTGTGCCAAGAAAAACGTAGCTGAGAAGTTGTACGGTCGCTCCAGCAACACACAGATATGTAGAGGTCAGACAGAGAAAATACTCACTGGACTGGTTCCTCCGCATCTGTCCCTGAAAGCAAAAACAGACATTAATTAATCAAAGACGCATGCGACCCACCACGAATTTTCAACTGTTACTTGCCAGACATTTGCTCAATTTCTCCATACAGGACAAATAAAACAGACCGACATGCTTTTTACAAAGTGAAAAAGAATTTTAAGGGTCATTATGTTTTTCTCTATCTCATTACAACATGTGCAACTTTTGGAAATTCTTGACTTTAAGAAAGATTAAGAAGATTTCAAATATATAAACCACAATGAAAACTGGGAGAAAAAGCTTGAAAACTATATTATTAATTATTCACAGTGGCCAAGGGAATTTTCCACTTTAGAGTTAAAGACAGTAAATCATAGGACTACCACGGACTCGCACATACCAGACGTTAAACCTAGGGTGAAAAATTCAGCAGCACAAAACCGTGCATCGAAGCCCATATAACGATCAGTCAGGGACAACAGAGAGCGTGCCCCCAACACTTCACCAACTTCCTTTAAAGAGCTTTTTTCCCCCCCCAGGATATAAATCTGCTGTGTCATGCTGCGCAACACAAGATATGCAAGATAGACTCTTGAGGGTCACCAACCCAATGGAAACTTAGAGCATCAGTTTCAATAAAGAATTTATTCACACAATGAAAAAGGTTGAGGGGGGGGATGTCAACAGAGGTAGGGAGAAAAAAAAAACAAAAAGAGTTTAAGGAACACAGCAAAAGCATTTAACCACCGTAGAGCTGTGAGGCCAGGGTTTAGTCCCACAGGCGCTAAGCGGCAAATGGGTTCAATTACGGTTCTTGCTGGCCACACACACACACACATGACTTCCATTGCTATTTCAATAAAGGGAACACCACAGAGGGGGAACCAAACAGGAGGAGAAATGAAAAAGACAGAAAAATGAGCACTGAGGAAAAAAAAAAAAACTTAATAATTCACACCAGATGATGCAATGTTCGTCATCACCTTGGATGTATGTTTTAACTTTAATCCAGAACTTTTTGGTAAATAGAAAACAGGGGAGAAAAACAGAAATCAGAACAGACAGAGAGGAAGGCAAATATAATCTAATGACTATTCTGGTATCTAAATGGAAATCAAGAGTCCACACAAACAAATTGTTTTTTTTTGTACTTTTAGGATGAGAAAGTAATTGTGGGTTTGAGTCTCGACAACAACCAAAACCAAACTGCAATGAACAAAGTTTAAGGTTTAACAGAGTTTTAATTTAATCATTTAATCTCCTGGATCTTGTTACATTAAATAGGAACAAAAACATCCTCTATAAACTTGTAACTTATCTTTATCATTAATTCCCAGGGTGGAAAAAAGAAAACATTTGTAATAACTAGGCAACAAACCCAATAAAGCATTCATAAATAACCACAACAGAGTCCTGTCTAGGACAAGCGGGACTACAATAAAACCAGAAGAATAAAAGCAAACTAAGAAACGAGGAAAAGAGAGTGAGGTACAAGACAAACAGTGAGGAGAAACTGTGGTGAGAGCAGAGGAAGGGAGAGGCTGAGGGAGTTAGCCAAAAGCCTGGAAGAAGATGCCGTGACATTCGTTTAATGTGCAGCCGGGGAGTGCGGCGGGTGAAACCCACTAGACCCCCTTCGCAACACTGAGCGTGCCCTCTCAGCCACTCCACAACATTAACAACAACAGCAGCTCAGTGCACACACAGTCCATGTTTGCACACAAGCAGTAGTGGTTTTAAATTTTAATGGCAGCAGCTATTTTCATAGAGCAGCAGAGAGTGATTCAGAGATTGAGTGATGGTGAGGGACAAGGAGCTGAATGAAGGGCTCCATGACTGAGGTCACGGATCAGACTGGGTTCTGTCTGTCTGTGTGTGTGTGTGTGTGTGCGTGTAGCCTGCTGGCCACTGCCGCAAAGCTTTCCTCTAAGTGCCTACAAGGAGGGCAGTGTGCATGTGTGTGAGTCTGCAGTAAAGGCCAATAACATCAGATACTTAACTCAGAAATTATTGTTTTTGAGTTCTTGGTATTTTTTATTTAAACAAGAAAAAACATAATCCTAAGGTTGTTTGACATGAAACTGAATTTGAAGTAGAGGCCAAATAAGAAATGTGTGCAAACAGGAACCATACTGAATCAGAAGTCAATCTTGCATATAAAATAAATTAGAAATAACACATGTCTTTCCAATGTAAAGAAAATAAGCTTCATGAAAGAGTGATTTATGGTGAACACCTAGTGGGATACGGTTACATGGCATTCCCACCTACCCTAACAGAGGTTAGATATTCTACTGTTGCCCTCTAGTGTTGCAGAGGCAGAGCAGACTTCTGCTGCAGCAAAGCAGGACAGCAACAGGTTTGCGTTTTGGATTTTTAAAACATTTGGTGTGTTACCATACCGAGGTTGAAGGTGACAGGATAATGTTTCCGATGGATGCTTTAAGCTCATCAATGGTGGCTCGGTTCTGATGCGTGCCATTGTTTGGCTGAACGGGCTTTATTTCTACGTGGAACTTCCTGGGTTCATCTTCATCCTCTGAGTCGCTGGACGAATAGAAGGAATTATCTTTGGCATGTGAGCAAAAAAAAAAAGTTAAGGAGACAACAGAAAAACAGAGAGAGCGCTAATCTAAGGTCCATTTTTATTTAGCCCTAGCATCAGACTGCAGGCGGGTGTGTACAGAAAAACCTTGATGTCTTATTATCTGGACTGATTGTAAGAGTGTGACGACTCTGAGACAAGTGAAAGGATATCGTTTTCATTTGCTTCCGGTCTAATACAGAAGCCCTCTGCATCAACTTGGGGAACATTCTACAAAAAAAACAAAAACACAGAAAAAAAGACATGTTTAAAGTCAAACTTTATTGCACTTCTTAATTAACACCAAGTTAAAATAAACACATTGCATGTGTATCGTTTTAAATACATCTGTGTTTAATTTATAAAAAATTATTTTTTTTTAATTAAACTGACATTTTCAATCACATCATATGCAAGGAATTGCATAAAACTGCTTTACATGATTTAATACATATAATTTTAAAAATTAACTGTTGACTAGTACTTCATGGTTTAACAATTCTTTTCTTTTTGCATATTGATCTTCCTCCTTACACTAAAGTCAAAACTTAGTCTAAGTACAAGTTTTTCTTTTTTTCTAAATGTGTCTTGTCAGTTTGCCAAGTTTGAAGTTTATCAATAGAGGGAAACATTTGTCCGACTTTTTTGGATTAACACATTAAAAAGTTCACACACACACACACACACACACACACACACACACACACACACACACACACACACACACACACACACACACACACACACACACACACACACACACACACACACACACACTTTCTTTCCAGACCCTTCCATCTATTTATCTTTCTATATATATCTATATCTCATCTCAAAAAAAATTTATATTGTGGAATTTTTCTTCAGAAAAAAGTGAAACTTTCTTATATTCTACATTCATTATTCATAAAATGAAATAATTCAAGCCTTTTTTGTTTTAATCTTGATGATTATGGTTTACAGCTTATGGAATTCAAAAATCCAGTATCTCAAAATGTATTAGAATTTTAAAATAATAAATTTATAACTCAAAATGTCGACTTGAGAAGGCCTCTAATCAGCTCATTACTTCAAAACACCTGCAAAACTCTCCTGAGCCTTTAATCTCAGTCTGGTACTGGTGCTCAATGAACTTCTCCACGATATTCCATATGTCATTTACAAAAAAGGTTTTATGTGTGTGTTTCTGTGTGTATTGCTTGCTTACAGCGTTCTGGATGTCTATGGCTCCATAGTATCCAGGGGGAGCACCGTTGGCAGTGTTCTACAAGCACAAACAGAGAGACATGAATGAATGAGTAAAGGAATGAGCAAATCTACAAAACAAACATGAGGGAGAGTGACAGAGTTACATGTTGCAAGTCGAAAAATACATGGCAGAATAAAATGAGCAAGGACCTTTTACACCCTCCTTCTGTTTGAAATCAAGATAACATACTTCAGCCGACATATCAGCTAAAGTATGAATGTTAAAGAATAACTAGTTATTTTGGTAAAAATTATACTCACAGCAGCTTCAACTTCTGTAGACTCCCTGGAGGACAAAATCATGTTGAGAAAGTCTTAACATTTTTTACAGGGGGGAAAACAAAAATAAGTAGCATAAATTGTATTGTGGATTAAAGATGTAAAAGTCTTCACTCACGTGGAGTCTGTGTCCTTGTCTTTCCTACGGCCTGGGATACCAAATGGTTTTCTCTTTCGTGGTTTGGCACCTTAATAAAAAACAAAGCATTTTTCAACCAAAGATTAATGTTAATAATTCTTTTCTTCATACCAATATGTAAAACATGAGTTTGCTTTAAACCTGCATTAAACTTTCAGTGCTTTACTTTACTTGCAACTTGCAATGTATGTGTCTTTCTTGCAAATCTTTAATTTTGTAATAAGAGTTACCTTCAGTAGCAATTGCTGTGTTGCACTCCTCAAACTCAATCGGTCCTAATGAGACAAAAAAATAAATCCTTTAGGTTCATTTGGCATGGAAAGGGTCAATGACCCACTGCTGTGAATGCTGTGAATGTACATCACGCAATAATCACACACACACACACACACACACACACACACTTTAGCAAATACACAACATGCAGTCTGGCGGGCCATAAAGAGTGTGTATACAAACAGAGCTAGGCTGGTCCCAGAGGGCAGACAGGGTCAATAGCAGAGTCAACTGTGTGTCTGGTGGCCCTCACAGAGATGTGACACTCCCTCCTGGGAACACAAAGCACTACTCTACAGAGCAGAGTCTTCCTCACAGCGACACACAAAAAAACCCACCTGGGACAATTAATCACCACAATTATAAACCAATTCTAAATCAACGTAGGAGCACTGGTATTCACAGCAAACAGCAGGTATGAAGACACGCAAATGCACTAACCCTAATACAATAAGACAAACAAGTCCAAGATTGCATGGTGTGAAGTGTTAAAAGCAACATGAACAAATCTGCTCTTGGGCTTAAGAGATGCCCATCTCTCTGGCGTACAAAAAAGTGTTTAGACCATTTATAAAATAAGCGAACGTGATGAGGCACACACGAACATACAAAGACACAAAAGTAACCATGGCAATGATTATTAGACTAAATTTAAAAGACTGAACTAAAACATTGTCATATGCATTCCAGCCAACAGCCATAATATCACTTGGAGCACAACCAGCCATGGATTTCTTTGAACCAAAAAAAAAAGGAAAAAACAAAAGTTTCTTTTGGTAATTCAGAAAACAGCAAAAAATAACAACGTTCACACTTAATTTAATGCTCATCAATTATATACATTTACCTCGGAGGCCCAGCACTTGGATTGTCACGCTTGACGTGTGCCTCCAGAAACATTTATTGAGGATGTTCAAAGACATGGTGCTTTCACATACACACGCTGACACACACTAAAAGCTGCTGGAAAACCAGAGGCAAGACATGCAATGAGCGTCCATGTCAATCAGAGAAATCTGGGAGGTTGGGCTATTGGTGTCTGTGACATGTTATTATCTATTAGAAAGAGGGACTCCTCAGCCATATAGTAAAATAAACTATAATTATTTTCATTAGTGTAATATCTACAACAGCAGTTATACAGCTATGTGACTGCAAATAGCTGCTTAGCAAAAAACAACACGCCAATGCTCAAATTCCATTTAAGTATTTTAAACAATTCTTTCTTGAAATGCATGACCTGGAAAACATGCGGTCTGCATTTGATATCAGACCAGATAGAAACAGATATGCTGCATATAACTAGAAATCTTAATAGCTTGTAGGATGGGCAGGAGAGAGAGAGAGAGAGAGAGAGAGAGAGAGAGAGAGAGAGAGAGAGAGAGAGAGAGAGAGAGAGAGAGAGAGAGAGAGAGAGAGAGAGAGAGAGAGAGAGAGAGAGAGAGAGAGAGAGAGATGGGGCAGGACCCTCTGGCAAGATTTCTGATACACTAACATGCCTTGACCTGAAAACAACAAAGCTAATGATATTTTAACTCAAAATGTATACAGTAGCAGCAGTCCAACGCGGCCTCCCCAGAGGATGCCAGTCACGAGCAGAATTGACGCATTGTTTGGCGTGTGTAATGCTGAGTGAAGCGCAGGGAAGCGGCGAGTCACGAGAGGCATGCATCACGCCAAGTGAAGTGGATAAAGTACACCAATGACCGATCTACTCTACTGTGCAATATCAGGCCTCTTCACCGCCGGCAAATACACAGCACGAATGACTGTGTGTGTGTGTGTGTGTGTGTGTGTACGTGTGAGTTTCATGCCAATCAAAACCAAATGGGCATGCTCATTCAAGAACTTTCTCTCATGGGAGGCAGGGAGAAGGACGGTAATTTCATCGTCCCCATTCGGTCACTGTACCGACATAAAACAGGTAAGCACTTATGGGGTGTATCTGGTCCTGGGGAGGAGGCTCATAATTATCTCATTTGACATCATCTTGCACTTTATGTATCAGTTGTAGATATTGTCAAACAAAGGAAATAAAAACACATCCAGAAAGGGGGAAATTTCTGGAAAATTACAAATTGCATACTTTATTCAAGCTCTGGGATATACAAATACTGTGGATCAACGTCAGGCCCAGGCAGAGCAGGAACTCGTTCCCGCTAGCATCCTGCGATTGCATCTGACAATATTTATGCACGCTGACTGCAAAAAAAGTCTAAACACCAGACACATGAATATTACCTAAATCTGGGCAGACATTAGGAACTGTTTAAACATCTCCTAAACAGACAGACGACTTTGTTTATACAGGGGAAGATGTTTCTTTTCTTTCTACTCTCTGTGAGGGAAGCATGCAGTCACGCATGAGCGGAGAATGGTTTTTTAAATTGCATATGCTTCACATGGCACTGGGAGTGGGAGAGGGGCGGAGGGGGTTTGCGTGTCTGGCCCACCGCCAGTTGACAGCTCAGCTGGATATCGTTGAACACTCCGAACCCCCCTGCCTCGCAGCGTGTCACTTTGGGATTGTTTCCGCAATAGAAAGTTTATTCAACCTCTCTCTCTCTCTAAAGGCACTGGACCGGCCATCCGTTCAGCTATTTAATCAGGGGACAGACAGGTTATTTTTTTGACAGGGCCGGGGCTGCTGTGCAATCTCTAATGAACAGCTTGATACAAGAGGAATTTTCTGACCGTTTTTTTAGCCTCAATTAATTCTGCTGTCCAAACAAATGAAGGCCACCACTCCTTGGACGCAGCGTCTGGACACAGGGGTCACTATTTGTGTACACACAAACACAGCAGAGGTGAACCCTTTGTGCCTATGACCTGACGTAATATAGTACAAGTACAGGGACTAGTGAAGTAATTGGATATTTACGACAGGACGGTTGTTGCTGTCATGCTGTTCACATGCATCATATCATCAGTAAAAGTAAAATAGCTGATGAAAAAAAATCAAGCTTCAGAGCTACTACAATAACTGCAAGAGTAACTGACTAACTATCAATGAATGAGCTGTGCGTGTGTTTGTGTGAAACAGAGGGAGGTGAGGGGGCAGAGCCAAAGGATTCTGAGGAGTATTCCCTTGATTATTGTGGCATGGCAAAGTTTACACAAGAGTCATTGTTGAGCTCTGACCTCCTGAAAAGGTTGGTTCTGCTGCGAGCACAGCAAAGCCCCCTGTGTGTCACATGCTAACTGGAATGCCAAGCCTGCCTACCTTTACAGCAGATTAATATGATCGACTCTGATGGACCTCTCCTACTTCTAATTGCCCCTCTCTATACACCACTACCCTCCCCACAAGGCAGGAACAGGAGGAGGACCTGTTACTCTGACCACTCATTTACCTACGCACAGCACAGACACGACAAGCACATATTATTAGAATAAAACATATATAAGATGTATAAAAACATATATAATAACGTATATAAGACTGGTGGCTTACCTGGTCTCTCCTTGCCAGTTCCTTTGCTCTCTGCCAGTTTCTGTATTAAGCTCTCCACTGAGGTGTTCTCAATGTTCCTCACAAATTCATTGTGGACCTACAAAATCCAAAATAATGAATCATATTTACTGACAGTTATCTTTAACTTGGAATTTAAGACTTGTCGCAGAAAGCACAATGTAAAACATGTTTGAGTACAGCAGAATATCATCTAAAATCCGCATCCTCTGCCAGACTTTTTGGTACATTTTGTGTTGTGGTTATAAATTTACATAGTTAATTGTCGATTGATTTTTTTTTGCTGCAATCAATTAATGAAAAGGTTTGGGCCATTTAAAGGGGTACAACTCTCTTAAATAAAATTTCATGATTGCTAGTACTCTAACTTGACAGAGGTGTTTAACCAAGTACTGGCAGCAAAGCCACATTCAAACTCACCAGCAAAGATGGAACAACACAAAGTAAATATGGTATTGTGGCTTGCCACACTCTGAGCCCGACTGAAGAGTGAGATGTTTCCTTTTAATTTACTGGCCTCAGACTGGCATTTCTCCTTACTGTGCTATTGACATTATCTTTAGGCTACCGCTGCTCATTCTTCGTTGCTTGCTGGTGAGTTCTGGCCACACATCCTTAGGTGTGGATGTGAGGGGTTGTCTGTCTATGTGTGGCCCTGCGGTGGACTGGCGACCTGTCCAGGGTGTACCCCGCCTTTCGCTCGATGTAAGCTGGGACTGGCTCCAGGTTGACGATGGATGGAACTGATGAAACTAAATATGTGAAATATTTTTCTGTAGTTGGGGGAAATGTAGTTACATAAGTCAGCATTAAAGTTATTGTTCAGTGCTTTTGACATTTCTGTTTTGAGTTATGTCATACCATACGAGCATTTCTAAGAATGAAGAAAAACAAAGGATGTCACGTGTTGAGTGTTTGGTTTATGACAAATGAGAAAAGACTGTATTTTACTGTCATTCTATTGTGTCAGGTTGAATCATTGTTGTTGGCACTGTAGTCTGCTGATGCCCTTTGGGCAGTATCAAAGGAAGCATAGTGTTTGTTTGCTTGTTTGTTTTGGATGTGCATGTGTGCTTGTGTGTTTACTGAAGGGGAAAGCGACGTATAGGCATGGGGATGAAGAGCAGTGGCTGACTGCCATCTCACCAAACCATTTAGATGTGCGTGATACTGTAAGCGCAGAGTGGCTCCGCTATCAAACAAACAGACACGCATACACACACATATGTGTCTGCCCCCCGGGCCCTTGTGGCGAGGTGGAGTGCATTAGCCTTCTGTGCCCTGGCAGGAGAGGATGTTGAGGGGGGGGAAGGTGATGGGGGTAGGGGGCAGCAGGGAGGTTGCTGCGGTGAGGAAGTATGCTCAGTGCAGCACACGCGATCTGTCAGGTGCTGCTGCCACGACGGAGGTCATCAACCTGCGTGCCCAGCCCGCCTCTCTCTGTCTCTCTCTCTCTCTCTCACACACACACACACACACACACACACACACACACACACTCTTTTGGCCACATGCTTGAAACATGCATCTACCTTCAAGGGATCCTCACACACACAAATGCTCACTTACAAAAACAAACAGCACGCAAACTCACATCTGCCCATATGTGAGTCAAAGCCCTCTACACAGGGAACAACACTTCTTTCTACTCATGTTTGAACTTAATATACCTATATAAGGTATTTTCCTTTCTTTACACTTTTCCCTGTCATCCTTTCATTCTAACCCTCTTATCCTTCACGCCCACTGAGCTGATACTGGCTGAACCTTGTCTGAAAATACCTGCAACATGACTACTTCTTGACTTTAGTGACACTTTCGGTTACAGGTTCCCTTTGCTAAGGTTTCATGCACTGTACTTCACTGAAACAACTTGTCTCTGGTAGTTTAATACAACCTTGGAATGACAGCAGCTCCAACACTGGACTCTACTATTGGGAAAGCTACATATAAGGCAAATACAATTGTTTCATTTCCCCCAAAAATTCAGTCAGTGAATAGTTAAAGTCACTACTAACTCCACCGTTGACCTGGTGGAAGTATAAACGACCATGTCTCCTCTGACAGTGTGCAGTCCTCTTTGCAGGCGCATTGACCATTGATTAGAAGCTGCTAGTGCAGCAACAGAGGGATAGGTGAGGGATAGGTATCAGTATAATTAACTTTAAAAGTATCTTTGATTGTCTTAAAAGAGTACTCCACCAATGTAGCTGCTAGTTTTCAAACTTGTAGTGACATCACTTGAGGCAATTAATTAGATTTTGCGCATTTCCCACTGGAGCCAGAACTTTATCCACATATGTAGAGGTACTCCACAAGACCTGTAAGCAGACTGATGGGTGAAATCAGTCAAGTTCACCTTAAGTAAGTCGTAAGTCATTTATGGCAAGAATAAACAATGTATCCAACATATATGGTATGTTCATTTTGTGAATTTGTTGGAACATATGAAATTAATCTTAAATTGTTCAAATAAATCATTAAAGCTAAACAATGTTGTCCAATATACACCACAAAAAAGAATTAAGGCTCTTTAAGAGATACAGATTTTTTTAGCCGGTGCATATTGTAATGATAGATATTTAAGTTATAATCATTCAGTGACCTCCTTTGATAAATGTAATGTATTCGCATTCCTTCATTGTATCTCGACCTTTAGAACACATATCATTTTCAAGGTTATACTTCACTTTTGCTTATCTCTGGTGTGGCAGATCTAAGGTTGTACTTCTTCCCTCTACTCTTGTATGCAGTACTTATCTGAGTACTGATCTTATCTGATCTATTTATTTACTTCATCATGAGTAAGTGGAACTGTGGAGCTAGTAACTATGACTAGTAACTGTGTGTGGGTTTTCACTGACTGCTTGGCTCTTTAAAGCAAGGGGCCCATTTTATTGAATATTGAAGTATGGACCATATGTTATCCATTCATTCATCCATCCATCCATCCATCGTCAACCGCTTATCCTGCGTACAGGGTTGCGGGGGGCTGGAGCCAATCCCAGCTTTCATTGGGCATATGGTCATCGCCAGTGACCATATGTCATTAAAAAATTTATTTGGGAATAAATATAGTATTGAAGAAATTCATCAGCTGGACAAAATGCAAGAATAATAACTGTGTTCTGGAAGTTAATATTTAAGCAAAGTTAGCACAAATGTTAATAAAAATGACTCACAGGGGCTCAGGGCTGAATGTCTTCGGTGTGTGTTTCATAGTGTGGGTGTGCATGTCTAACTAAAACAGAACTTACAATATATTAAACACAAGTAGATGCTAAAGTATGATTTTGTTTGCTTGTCAACATGAATGCCTGTGGGCTCAATGACTAAGCACAATGTTACAGAGTGGAAACCTCTCTCTCTCTTCAGCCAAGGACAAAACATCTTCCAGTATCTTCAACCAAGTCCAGTTGCCCTTGACTTTAAGCTTCGTTGGATAACTATGTCCTGGATGACAGAGAGAGAGAGAGATGACTATGAATCTTCATAGACATCTCTCTCTCTCTCTCTCCCTTCTGCCTAACCCTTATATAACATTAATATTCCCAAGGTCCCTCACAACCTGGTTGAAGAGTATTTATCACCAAATCACAATTTCTTAAACTGGCCATGTTTTCTAGTTTGGAAAGAATTCAGGCAGTATTTTAGCTAGGCTCAGCAACAGGCAGTAGCACTACCTATTTCCTCCTCAGAAGCAGGAACTGGGTGGCTGAATAACCTGTGGTAGCCTGTCGCTCTACATTCTTTCCAACCTGCAGCAGGACCTGCAGGCTGGACTGAGATAATCTTGGTGGAGCTGCGTCGCCCTCTATGGACAACAACAGAATTACAGCGGCATTATCAGCACAAAGAAGCTTCAGCGCAGCAGATTGTAATTCTCTCCAGTTATTCTGTGTGGCACTGGTAAGTATGATTGCTGAATAAATACATGAAAGGCCATCTCTGGCTAACGTTAAATACTGATTGATATAGTTGTTAATGATAGTTGAAAGCCTTCACAACTGGACTTGATCGAACTTGATGCCATTTTCTCAAACCTAAACACACTCGTCTAGAAACAAACAAGCCTGTGCAGCACTTTTAACTATCAGACACAGTATTTGGCAAGTGTTTGGACTTCTGGAGGTGTTTTAGATAGGCTGAGAGGGAGTTTTGATCAGTTTTTAATTGCCTGGCATAAAAGGCTGAATGGACCATTTCCTGGTTCTCAGTTAAACGATTAGCGAGATCAAAGAGGACACTAATTGATATGACACACAGTGAACCCAATGAGCACAGCCTCAGGTCAACAAGACACCTACTCCACCCACAGGAATGTTTGAGAGTATGTACATGCACATGTGTGTGTGTGTGTTTGTGTGTGTGTGTGGACGCACTCACCTCTCCTATTTGAATGTGTGTTTCGTCAACAGACTGTGAGTATGACTGAATGATCTCCTTCATGTGGAGAATGTGGTTTTCTTCAATGTCTTGGAATTTCTGTAACACAGGGCGAGGGGAGTTACGGCATGGCGTTGAAAAAAATCATTCAGTCACTAAAAATCAAATCGAATGCATACCAACAAATTTGCATCATGGTGTCAATCTCATTAGATATGCTTGAAAACAAAGATATGTCCCTGCCACTTCCTGTGTGTCTGTTTGGGTAGTGTATGGCGGCTTGCACACACACATATACCTCCTCCCATAAGATGTAAATTATTTAGTTTATGAGATACATAGACGGGCGGTAGTTTTAGACTTTCAGCAGTAGTATGGTGAAGATCACAACCTTAAATGCGTGTATTTACTTCCATTTGAGTCTGACTCTGGGGTTTCTGGGGTAAACCAAGGGGAATGAGTATAAATAATCATAAACTGGTAAATTACTGTATGGATGGAGAGGAAGATGAGCCTTTCAAACCACAAACACAGGATGTAGAGCCACTTACTACTGCATCTACACTCCAGAGACATGTGCATAAATAAGACTGTACTTTTGTCATTTCATCACGATAACAGCTAGCATACTCTCACAAACAGACACACCCACCCATCCACTCAGACAAAGAGAACACACATGTAGGAGCCCCAGTGATGTCAGAGAGCACATGTGTTCAGTGTTTATAACTCATGTCCACATGTGCTTCGTTTGAGATGAGCCATACACTGTGATCCCAGGGAAGCAGAGCTGCAACGGCGCGTTCTCTAGGGGAAAACAAAAACGTTAGGCTAACTGGAACCATTTCTGGTGGCGGAGCTGCTGCGGTGCAGGAGGATATGGGGGCCAAATTCTGTTGATCTGATTTTAATTTGGAGTTTATCTAATCAGGCTTTCAGATGGATCCAATCAGGGCTTTCCACAACGATTCCGTTACAGAGGAAAAAACACAATCTGGAGATGATACAGGGCACGAAACCTGGATCACACACACACACACACACACACACACACACACACACACACACACACACACACACACACACACACACACACACACACACACACACACACACACACACACACACACACACACACACACACACACACACACACACACAAAGGGCTAACAGATTACACAATGAAATTGTTGCATACCACAGAGACAGACAATAGACAGAGTTTGTGAGCACATATATTTCATTGAATCGCATGCACACAGAACAGGCAAAATCAGTTATCACAATACCTGTGCAGTTTCTGCCATCTTCTGTTCAAACTCTGACTTAGCTGTGGCATATTTCTCCACATAAGACTTATAGGTCTCTGTGGCTTTTTTGGCTTTCACTCCAGCCTGCAAAATATAAACAGACAGATTCATGGCCATAAGTTTATATACTATACACAATATCCCTCTGTTTTCCCAGATCAACTGACAAATCAGCGTGGAAACTAAGCTCCACTTAACATCTGAAGGCAAGAAGCTTTTGAGGTTTCTGTATAGAGTTGAGTGTTCAGGCACTTCACCATGCCTTATTACCATACTATGATTATGTGGGTGTGTACATGCAAATGTGACCTCCCACCTTGTCCACATCTCTCTGGGTGGCCCCCTCCTTGCGGAGGCGCTCCTGCTCCACAGTTTTGGCATTGTAGATCTCCTTGGACTTCTGCAGGGCCTGAGAAGTGGTCTGGATGTTCTGTACGGCCTCCAGGGTGGACGCCACCTCTTCTTTTGTCTAGCAACAAACAAATGTCATGTACAGTAACTCAGCTTAAGGCTGACTAAATAATAAGTGCAAGTGTCACCCGCAGTTCTACTAACTATGGAGTTGATTCTTGTACAGTTTGACATTAACATAATACACAAAGTGAACACTTGTCTTGTCCTGGAATCTCCTTGTTAATTATGACAAACCAGACAGAGGTCCTTTATTGCTGTAGTAAAACACTATTGTAGTTCCTCTAGTTCATTCTCCAGCACAGTACAGCGGGAAGCAGTTATTATAGCAGCTATTAAAAAATGCATGGCACTGCATTTGTTCTATTTGTATAGCTCTTCACATCGACATACTTGAACACAAAACAAGAAATATAATCATGGGGTAATGACTTGCAATTACAGTGGCCACACAGTAAGCTTGGTCATTTCTTTTACTCATCATCATCACTTAACCCTTTTTGCTACTCACTTTGACACAGTTATGTTATAATGTAAACAGCAATGGAGTGAGCAAAAGAAAACAAAATTGGTGAAATCCTAAATTCTGTACAAATCACAAGCACCTACTCCAAGATGGGTGTTTATTTTATTTTATTATTCACACTGCTTAACTACAGTATGTGCTCTATGTGCAAGTTAGCCAAGAAACACAAAGCAGAGAGGAACAGGGAGTGTGGAGATGTGACGGAGGGAAACTGTGACAGCCTTTTTGTCATGCTAAAAGCACAAACACAGCTCCGCTAATTCCAAGTTCCTATTTTACTTTGTGTTCTGTGGTTTCATGCATGAGATATGAGCTGATGGTGTGCCTCAGCAGGGAGGAGAGATGGAGGAGCGAGGTGTAAATAAATGCTTCATAGAATAACACTGCACGCTACGCTGTCTCAAGATGGAATCAACTATTAAACAATCTGCTTTTCTTGTGGAGAGTTGACTTCTAGTTCATACTGGAATGGGTTTATATTCAAACTGTTACATTTTCCTCAGTGAAGACTAAGTTCTGCCCCATTTCAGCAGTAGCATCAAAAAAGCCACATGATACCAAGCCCTAGCTAGAGGTTCCCTAATTCTCCATCTCCTTACCTTTTTGTGTGCTTTGGCCTGCTCTTCCACATATTTCTGAACTTCTTTTATCAGTTCCTGTAGTTTCCTCACTAGCTCCATGTGACAGGTGGCCAGCTTCTCTGTTGAGCTCTTGAACACATCCCACACTGGAGCAAAAGTCCTGGGATAAAGGACGAGACTTCAGAGGCAAGAACATGGGCAAGACCTTCTTATGTTAATTCACACTGGTCTTTTCTTCAGAAAACTGGAAAGCTGTTTACACTCACCCAAGCTGAGAAAAGTTGCCAGCTGACTTTGCAAGTTTGGTCATAGACCTGGCATAGGCCTCTTCAATAGTACTCCTGGGGCAGGGCAAAACACACACAGAGATAACTTGTTAAATCATTATAAACGATTACAAACAAACGTTTAACAGACCCAAGTTAACAGTAGCATATGTCAATAATGTCAAGATAACAAATCTACCTTTAAAACCTATTTTTATGTAGAGCATGGGAAGTATTTCCAAAGTATTTGAAACTAGGGTATGGCTCAAATAGGGCATGTCTCTAAACAATTGAAGATATGAGCCAAAAACACAGACTTTGAACTTGCAACACAAATGTTTGACCACATGCACTGTGTGTGGGCAAATAAATGTGGCTTGGCTTGTGATTTGTTCATAAACCTCATGTTGAATCTGATACAGTATGAAAGCTATTGTTTGCATTCCCTGCTTCTCTCAATTTCCCTTTTTATTCCTTCATTCTGCAGCAAAGTGACAGGAGTAAAAAAAAAAATAAAGCCCAAAGAAACCCAACAGAAAAAACGGCAGTGTTACAGTGAAAGCCTGAATTATGCATGTCTCATTTAGCCAGCCGCTCGCTCTCTCTCTCTCTCTGCAGTAAGAGGTCAGCCAGGGGGAAACAGGACAGACATGCACACACAGAGACCCACAAATACACATACATCATAAACACACAAACAAACAAACATCCAATAGAGGACCAAGCAAACACACACACACACACACACACACACACACACACACACAGCACAACGCAGAGGATGAGACTAGCTAAAACTGCATGACAGGCTACATTCCCACTTCCACATCTTTGTGTGAGCTCAGAATAGCAGTTTATTTTTATACGTTATCATATTGTAAATACTGCCAAATTTCTAGGAATAATGTCTGCCTTTTAATAAAACCATTAAGGAAGTTTTACACTTTTAAAACCAATTGTGTGTTGCACACTACAGAGGCACATTTTACAGAGGTCATTATTCTACACAGCGCTTCACACCACTTCTACTACTACTTTAAAAATTGTTCGTAGTTACTGTTACTGTATATATATATATATTTATTACGGTTAATGCTTTGTTTGTTGGAGGTTGTATTTTATGTTGGTTGCCACATGCCATTCGGGTCTGGCCTGCCCAAATGTAACTTAAGGCAGAGACGCTTTTAGTTCGATTGTAAATCTGTGGGATAAGATATTTTTTTGTTACCTTTGTTATTCAATGTAGACATATATAAAAGTCTTTTGACCACAGATTTTCTTCTTTAAAAGAAGTAGTGACCTGAAGAAGACTGTCAAAGCATTGTAAATCAAAATGTTGACTATGTTTTAACCATAGAAAACTGATCAAAATATTAAATCTTACAGTTTTTCTCTGTTGCTTCAACACTATAAACAGGCTTTTGAACTAAAATTTCAGAACCATAACTCCATTTTTCAAAAAGCCCACTCATTTCCCTAAACTCGCCACATAAATCCCTTCATTTCTCATTGCCTACACCATGTGGTAATTGAGAAAACACTAACATTCGATATTGTTCACTCAATCAGCACAGGTTGAGGTCAATTAGCACACAACTACCCAGGTGGAAACACAAACAGTCAAAATGTATAACACACCAATCAAAAGCTTCAATAGATAGATAAAAAGGGCCGGAGTCAGTTCATTCAGTTTTGCAACAATGGATCCACAGAAATCTGAAGGAAGAGGTAGAGGACGCCAATGAGGAGGAGGAGCAAGAGGGGGAAGAGCACGAGTAGTATGGAGAGGAGTAAAAGGTGAAGGAGGAGTAACAGTAGGAGTTGGAGGAAGAGATGGGATAGGAGGAAGATGAGGAGTAGGAGGAGGCGATGCAGGAGGAGGGAGGAGGAGGAGGTGGTACAGGAGGTGGAGAACAAGAATCGTTGGCCGGTCTCAGACCAACGACAGGACGCTGGGGCAGAATAATTTGTCGTTTAGTGTGTTGTACTGTACAGTACACAAAGGAATAAAAAATATGTGAAAATGTATACATTTGTTCTTTCTTTTGTGTTCATTGTGTGAAAAGGTTTTTGAGGGAGAGAATCACAAGCAACATTACTTATAACTAGTTTTTGTAGTATTGTTTTGAATTTATGTCACCAGTGTGTAAGACTGTGTTGTACTGTGTGTGTTTTTGAGGGCTTGTGTGTTATGTCTGAGGTCAAAGTTTGGTTTTTCAGCAAGACTGAAAGGTTTTGAGTGGAGAGCTTCATTTTGACCTGAAAATAGTATGTTTGGGGAATTGGGTGAGAAGTTATGGATTTGTGTTTAGAGTTTCGAGATGAGAGGCATTTCTTTAGTGGGCTGTTCATAAAAAGAAATGGACATGCCCATTGCTGAAACTGAAATAAACTGTGACAGCTCAAGAAAGATCTTGGAAGACAAACAAAATAAGTATTAAATCTTAAGAAAAACATTTTACTGTCTCTTTGTATGGTTTAACAGTTGGACGTTGCATGTATTGTATTATTTCCTGTTGGTATAAAATGTTATGCAGTATATGTTGTTTTGTATACTAACTGAACATTTTGACAGTAAGTATGTAGTACATACTTTATAGAGTTAGTATGTATTATGGATTTGTGATGAGATGCAGTTGAATGATCTAGAAAAAGCGAATGTGTGAACCTTGGGTTAAGATTACATTTAGTCTTCTTCAGGTCATTTTGTTAAAACATTCAGTCATGTCCACTTAGAAGAAAAGAACTAGGAATGAAACTGTAGTACGCGGGTATTTTTCAGTGTAGCTAACAAGCAACATAGCATCGACAAGAGATGGAATGGATGTGTATATGCCTCTTGGAGATTGCTAATGTTGTTTTAGCTTAAAAGGCTTCTGGGAGTTGGGTCCCTTGTCGACAGATGGTAGGAATATATTAACACAGTGCAAAGAGCTTCTTTCTCCACCAGAGGGAGCCTCAGTGCAGTTTTTCAGAAGGGGAAAAAACACCACTCTCCAAGGCTGTGAACTGAAAACTTAAACCAACAGTTCAAGTGGCACAGTGTGATTACAATTACGATCCCCCTAAGCAATAAAAGCACATATGGTAAACATTATATTCATCTCTATCTGAACTCTCCATCATGAGTGAAAGGAATTACTGTAGATGTGCTAAAGATTGATTAATTAAAAGTAAAACTTAACAACTTCCATAATGACAAGAAGCTGATTTCCCTCATGATATTGCCATAATGTTAATGTAAAATAACATTTGAATTGTCATGACCACAGTTTGTCAAGCATATCAAACACTACACCAGTGTATGAGTGACTGAGTGCATTTACCGCAAGTCAGGTAGATAGTGGAATCCACTGTTGAATTCCAGTGGCAGACCATTTATCATGTGGCAGGCTATAAACATACACCTCTGACAGAGTGAAGCTAATCTTTATGGGGGTGGGACGGATTTGAAAAGAAGCTATTATTATATGCTGCAGACACTAAAAGTGAGTAACATAACGCCAGGTTACAAGTGGGATAAGGTTTAAGTGTCTTTCACAGCTTTACATTTGCATAACATTCACACTCATCGACATCTTCCTTTAGTCACAATATTGAACCTACTGTGCAGGTTAATTCTCCTCATAAATATGGAGGCTCTCGATTAGAGAGACTGATAATGGTAGAACTGGAGCTGAATTATACCAGCAAACCAGCATACCAGCAAACTAAATTAGCTAATTCATTTCACTAGTTAATAAACAAAAATGATAATTAATTCACAATTTTTCCAAGCAATAGTTTTGCAAAAATGCTGTAGATTCAGTTTCTTAAATGTGGTGATTTATTGCTTTTTTGTCATAGTGAACTGAACATCTTTGGGTTTTGGACTTTTGGTCAGACAAAACAAGACATTTTAAGACGTTTCTGGGATTCTGAGAAGTTTTGCTGGGCATTTGGGTATTGATACAAGCACAAAACAAGGAAATGTTACTGCAGGTGCTGACTTGGAAATATACTAACTGATGTAGCACTGAACAATTAAAAAAAAATCTAATTGTGATTATTTTGACTGAAATAGTAACGAAATGATTTGCGATATTGGAGGGAATGATCATTTTAACATGATTATTCCCATTTTCATTGAAAAACATATTTAAATGATTAGGGTGCGACTTTGCAAAGATCTGTACCACACAAAGATGTTTTCTTAAGTCTGTAGAATATGATGTGTACGCCAGGACATCTCTGCAGCAACACAATATTTCATTTAAAATAGTATTTTGACATACATTTTGCCTTTAACAAATATTTCACATCATGTGATTTGAAAATTGCAGTAGGCCATACTGCGATTTCAATAAGATTTCGATAAATTGTTCAGCCCTAAACTGAAGTGTATCGGTCTAGAGTGGCTTACCTTTCCCTGATGAAGTCTGTCAGCTCCTTGGAGGAAATTTGGCCATGCTTCATGTTATGGTAGAGCACATCAAAGCCATTATTTTTTTCGCCCTGCATTCCATAAAGACAAAAAAAGAATGCAGATAGATCAGTCACCAGAACGAGCACCAAGCCTAACAACCAACAACAATACCTCAGTCATTGATAGGATATTACCGTGAGGGCTTTTTCTAAAAGCAGCCTTCTAACTGTCTGCATAGTTTCCAGGTGCATTTGCAGCAGCTTTTGGTCAACCATTCTCATCTTTGCCATGTTTGAGAGTAATGGATGTTACAAAGAATTTAAAACGGTGGTCGTAAGGTCTAAGGCTTGAGCAAAAAATATAAGAGATAGCCAGAAGAACTGTCTGTGTTGCCGTAACCATGCCACTAGGTAACGGTGTCCAGTTATACAGATGCTTTAAAAATGCAAAGGTACCTCTGAATAATTAATATGAATGAAAAATGTTGGGTTTACATTTAAGAAAATGTAATCATAAATTACCATACCCTTATAGTACAGATATAGTGACACCCTACTACTACTACTGATAATAATAATAATGATGATGATGATTTTTGTTCTGCTTATTTAAATACTCAATGACTGTTAACATAGTAAACAGGATACACAGAAAAATAAATAAGAAAGAATAAAACAAATTGAATTGCAAGCTATGGCAAGCAAAACAATCTCAATGAATTCAAAGGACAATATAACAATAAATCCAATTATACAAAAGTTTGCTTAGTGGAACTCCTTTAAAACTAAGCTACCTCCTGTATTAGAGCTTGGCTGATCAATTAGCCAGGTCCATAAGTCGATATTAGATTATTTTAAATACTACAGTGTTTCCCATTAATTAACGAGACCATGGCGGCCCACCACAGTCTAATTTGCTCATCCATAGTTTCAGAATGAACCAAAAATATTTTTACACATCTCATATTAACATTTCAGACCTCTAACGTTGTGTTTTGTGGGCGCTGAGGTCATTTAGAAAGAGTGTCACCATTACATAGTTTGCACACCAGAAAGTAATGACAAGTGGATTTTGTATCTGTATATGTCCAGGTCAGCATGTAACTTGATCATAACTAAGAAGAAAAACAAACAAAATAAATCTCAGGGATATGTGTTAAGATTTGTTTTAATGTTATGTGCTATCAGCTGATACACTATCAGATTTTAGCCTTGTTGTCACTTGAGAAGAGAAGAAGAACTTCCTCATTGGCCTCCATTATTCAGTGAGAGAGGAAACATACATCATGGCTTAAAGCTAAGAAGTGCCCATTTTTTAAAACACTGATTATCTGAGATAACAAATACCATAGACGGTCACAAGACTGAACTACTATCCAACAGATTACAATAATAACCACTGAAATAATGATTGTGATAGATTAACTGTGACGTCTTGTAAGCAAACTGATAAAATATAATCTAGAGGACTGAAGTACTAGCTCTCTCAAAAGTGTCAAATGATGACTGAAATAAATAAGTTAATTTAATACCCCCTCTGTTCACTGCAGATCTTCCTCATTCTTGTCTAAATCTGGGGGCCAACTTTGATTCCCCTCAATCCGAGACTGTCACAGATTATTTCCTTGTTCCTGGAGCCGTCCTCTGTCAGCAGTTTGGTATACAGGCTACAATATCAGTGCAGCTCTAACAAATCGGTTTAGCCTTGTTTTTCCACATTGACAAAGATGAAAGGTCAGGATGGTTGTGTCAAAATGAAGCTCAGAGCTCTGATAGGACTATATTTACAGAGCAAATAGACATTAAAAGGAAAAGCGTCCTTCTCTAGGCTACAGCTCGCTGGCCTACTTTTAACCCCAGTGAGCAGACCACTGAGATGTGCTTCCTGTTGTAACAAGATATGTGTAAAAAAAAGTACAAGTTTAGCAGTTACCCTGCCTTTAGCAAACAGCATGACAAGCAAACTACTGTACACATTTAATGTGATGAAGCATGAGAAACTGACGATAACACTAACCTTACACAACACTTACACTATACTGCTTAAAATGTAAGAAACACGATGTGAGGGACACACTGACAATTGGCCAATCAGTTGACAAAACAGGGAAGTAACAAAAGTGAGTGAAAACATACAGCTCCAACAGAGCGGAGCAGCAACAGGAAGAGAGTCTATTCTGTGCAGCAACTCTACTCATGTGGAATGTAATATCAATGATGAATACAAACGAAAAAAGAAAAAACAAACACAGGAAGCAGCTCAGGGCGTTTTGGACATTTCAGCAGGTTAAAATCCTGGGATAGATTCTGAACAAAATAATCCTACAAAAAGGAGCAGCTAACAACCTTGAACAAACCTGAAAAATCTGAGATTTATAATTTAACTACAAATCTCTGTTTAGTTTTCAAGCTATTTTAGGGCTCTACAGCTACATCTACACATGCAGCTGCAGGGAGAAGTAATACCAGGGAGCCACCCAGTTTCTCAATGTCTTCGTCTGGACACTCATTGATGAAAGCCCTCGTACTGGGTGTTTAATATTCCAACCACACATTGTGAAATTCAGAAGTACTCATTATGCTTGGATTTTGATGGAGAAGTTTTTAAACCTCTGTCCCACCCCAAAGGGAGAATACCATGCTGAGAGGTTTGCACACGTCAATCACCGCTTGTTTGAGCAATAGCACAGTTTGAAGCTGAGACAGCCCCCAAAACGCTGATGCAAAAAATTAACAGTGTCAGCTGTCCAACATTCAGTCTGTGCCAACATTATCACTGACAGAAACAGATCCCAACATGAATTTAAAATCCTGGCTGTGACACACTACGCTACGTCTGCACTGCACAGACTGCAGGAGACCCACCCTCTTTGTATGCTTTAGGCGGACAAAAAGAAAAGTAGATAATAGTCCAGCAGCTAGACTTTTTATGTCACGGTTGAATGTGCACTAATGCTTTTGCTGGGAAGAGTGATTTCGATCATAACCACGGGGAAGGCGAGCTTGAGTGGAAAAAGCAGCAACACCACTTACCTGTCTCCTTGAACACTGACGTAGACCTCCTGAGGGTTCATGGAAGTTATAGGCTAATTATTATGTCAACAAAAGCTTAATGTTTGCCTCTCGATTCTGCCACCTCTTTCCTGAAGACATTTTAACCCTTTCCTTTCTAATCATTCATGTTCACTTCTGTGGGCAATATTAACAGATAATTATTTTTTGTATGACTACTGGAGAGTTGGATCTAAACTTGTGCGCTATATGGTGTCTGATAAAATTAAAGACACTTCACTGTAAATCAGCCTCTAAGACCACACAAAAACACACTACTTGAAGTTAGTGAATTAATCGATGGGCAAAAAAATGAATCAACTACTTTGATAATCGATTAATTACTAAAGTAATTCTTCCAGCAAAAATACCAAACAGCCCCTTGTTCTAGCTTCTCAAATGTGAAACTTTGCAGCTTTTGTTTGTATTATATGATATTAAACCATAATATCTGTGGGTTTCAGACTGCTGGTCACACAAAACAAGCAATTTGAAGATTTTAAAGCTACTTGGGCCAAAAACAAGGAAATTGTATGGCCTATTTGCCATGTTAATGTTTTGTCTTTCAGTAAAAACAAATACAAGTTTAAGACTACAACACACAACATTAAAACAACCGAAATACCAAAGGACACTCTATCTAGTTTCATATCATGACATAGTTATAATGATATAATGCCCTGCCTTCTCATCAGCATAAAGATTCAAAAGACAATACGATATTTTAAAAACAAAAGTATGAGATGCAGCCAGTGGTATAATCAAATGGCTTTGTTCAAGTCTTGGTACCACGAAGCCAAGCTCAGAAGACACACCACAGACTTCTTAAATACACACTGGATTGTGTTTTCACACACAACAATAACATTGTGATTACAGAGTAATATCAACACAAAAAGAAACGGTTACATGGCTGACACCCTTAATCTGAAATACCACCTTCAAGGACAGATAAACAAAACCAGTGTGGTGCAGTTTATCATCTCACATCTGCCGGGCAGAAGAGGGCAGGAATGCACTTTCTTTCTGTTAAACTGCAATACCAGTTTCAATATCCTGTGTGTAGGGAATCTAGTGTTTATTGTCTGACAAGCAGCAATACAACCCATGACACGAAAAGAACCCTGGTTATCTCTCAATATTATTATATTTCTATATTCTATATTTCTATTTTTCTTTGTCATGTTTGTTTTATTATGTGGGAACGCACCATCGTAATTGCACTTAATTTCATTATACACTGTATTGCAATGACATTTGAATCCAAGCTTGAAAGTCTCTCAAAATTTCCACTTATTTCAGTAAGCTGATGTTGCTGACATTGTTTTATTCACAAGGTTGTCTGCATCTAGGGCTGCAACTAATGAGTATTTTCATTATTTCGATTTGTCAATCAAGGATTTGTATGAGTATTTCAGTAAACAACACTGATTGCCAAGTAACCTACATACTTTAGCTCTGTTACACAGCATGTATCTAAGAAATTATGTAATTTTTCATCATAATTTGTATACTGTAACGTTGTTGTTGTTGGTCTATTCTGAACACATACATCTATTTGTCCTGGGAGAGGGATCCTTCCTCTGCTGCTCTTCCTGCAGTGTCCCAGTTTTTCCCAGTTAAAAGTGCAAAGTGGATCTACTTTAAAAACAAGCCTATTTCTCTTAACTTGTAAGGAGAATGAAAAACACCTTTGCCATGGCCGTTAAAGGCACTGCTGTAGTACAGTATGTGCATTCATCACATAATAGTACAAAAAGTATCATAAGTAGCCTAAGTGTACTTTAGGAAGTCTTAGGCATATAATTTCCACTAGCAACTGAGTAAAGGGGAAGGAAAAATCAAGAGCATCCCAGCTGACGTTATTCCTTTTCAGGTTCTGAATGTATGTTCAGGTAAAAGCAGTGGAAAGAAGTGTGTCTGCACATTCTCACTGAGGAATTTAGGAATAGCTAAACAAGACTCCCTCTCTCCAGACAGACTGTAAATGATGGCTGTGTAGCCTCTAGACCCCAGAGCCTTGAGCACAGAGCCAGTAGACAGCAGGATGACATCAGAGTGTTTGTCCTCTGTCATGTGACCAGAGAGGTCCGGGAGCATGCACCAAACTGACCGAAAGCAACACACATGCAACATACTGTATGTAGTACGTGGTAAGCACACAAAGGCTGGGCTTTGCTTGTGGTACAAATATAAATCTAGGAGAAGCACTACTTATAGATAGGGATGTGACATAAACTGCATGGCTACTGGATAAATGCCAGGACAGGTTAGTTTATCACAACAGCTCTAAAGCCAGCTTACATGTAGGACTTTATGAGAACTGGAACACAACCATCGTGAGGCAGGATTTCGGTTTCAAGCAAAACAAAAAGGCAATGTTGACCAATACCCTTTCACCATGGGGGAAAATTACAGAAATTTCTCTGATTCTCATGACTTGTTGCATGTCTGACCATAACTTGTGCACCTTGCATGTCTGACCATAACTTGTGCAAGTGTGACTGTGAAACTTGCGCACAGGCCACACACACACACACACACACACACACACACACACACTATAGACACCATGGAGAAGAAGGCCATCACAGTTCTGTTGGATCCCGGGGCTGTTGGCTGTATCACTGTTTGCGTATCACACTGCCATCACATTTTCCCATCACACACAACACACTCCACATTAAACATAAGCTTATCATAAATGTATGGCTAAAACTAGAGCGTTAGGCCAACTACCTGCTACCAATCTACTAATCCACCACCTGAGACATCTAAGCCCATGTGGGGACAGTCACACATTCAAACTTTCATCAACAGAAGACAGAACTTACTAACTCATGCACATTTCACACACAGAAAAAAAGGGAAATGGTCATTTGAGAGCTACAAATAAATCTAGTGAGCGGAAATGTTGCACCCAGTGACCAATCCAGTGCTGCAGCTTTGACAGCGAAGCAACATGGCGGTACCATGTCTGGTTCCTAATTCCTAAAGAACTTGTTTATTCAGCTGAGGAGAGATTTGTCTGCATCAGAGATTCAAGCTTCGATTACATACAAGGAAAAGAATGAGAGAAATGAAGGAGATAGGTGTATACCTGCACACTGTGCAAAAGTGAGACTCATCAGAAAACTTAGCAGTAGTCAACTCTGGAGAGCCTAATGTGTGTGCATGTGTGTGTCTGCTTGTGGTGATGATTTGTAGTCAAGTCAAAGGGAAATGGATGCATCTCCTAATGCCAAGTGTCTGTGTGTGTGTCCTGCATGTTAAACACACAGCAGGGCACAAAGGGCAGATTGAAGAATCAGGAGTGTCTCGGCTCTTTTCCATTTAGTTAATGATAAAGTCTCCTTTAGAAAAAGGCTTTAGAGGTTGGCAGTACTGTACTTTCTTTGTTACTTAATTAATTTCAAACCCTTAGCTTGATGTAAGTAAGTATGCAAGCTCAGTAACTAAGTTAGTTTAACCAGCTTTGTCAGAGATTCCTAATAGCATTCAACACCTGGAACTAAGCGGCATTTCCCACCTTGGGGAAGGCAGGGATACAATACGAATGGAGGTAATTTCTAGCAGAGGTCCTGGTTGACAAATACACGGCAATAATAATAATAATCTTTATCTGTAGAGCACTTTTCAAAAACAAGTTACAGAGTATTAACAAGTCTGCAATCCTGTAACAGCCTACAAACTAGACACACATAACCTTCTGTTTCAATATACCAGCGTGTTTTTGCATGAACTCTAATCTAAGCACTCTATTTCCAAGAACTTTTACAACGGCTGATTGCAAAATAACAGAGCAATGCACACACACACACACACACACACACATCCTATATTCAGTCATCCCATTTACCTATGGCTACTGTGCAAATCCCCTTGGTCTCAAAGGAAAAGGGTCAGTCAACATAAGAGACCACAGAGTTTGTAACAGTTAAGATGACTCAATACAAGACAAAACATCTAAAACATGACCCATACTTGCAGCAATGACAATAGTGCAATACACTGGCTTAGCATAGAGTAGTAACGTCAGCCCCAATGAAGTTATGGCCTGAGTTTTCAGTTTTTATAACTCTGTCTTTATGACTTTAGTGCTATGGAACTAGCAATAAAATAAAGGAAAATCGTTGAAAGACAGGCAGGTCGGTTAAGCCAGAAGAGGACATTGAGATGAGTAATAAAGACAGGCTTTTACTTTTCAATCTGCTATAACATAGCCACGTCAAATCGGGAGAGAAATGACCTTTCGTCAGAAAGGGACAGTGTTCACAGTGTTAGAATAATACACTCACTACAGCACTGGCTAAATAAAATATAAGCTATGTCCAATGTAGTATGAGGGTGATTTCGTGTTTTTAAAGGTGTTCTCTAACTTACTAAACATCTGGCCTCTCACTGAAACTTCGTGACGGAAGAAAATGACGTGTACGGCCAAGTGCTGGGACTGACAGCCGAAGCGTCCAATAGCATTCAGGGAACTGACCATAAACATTCCAAGCAAGCCTGAGAGGGCCAATTAGCGGGAGCAGGGGTGGCTTCTTTGAGATTTCAAGTTAGATGGGTTTACGGAGGCCCAAACCCCGGGGTGGCAAAATAATAATTGCCGAGGACAATTAATGATGGCCGGGTTGCTGCTGACCAGTAAGTCTGGCGGCACCGGACCCCGCCGCTCCAGCGGCAGCAAACCTGTGAACTACACGACTATCTCTGAAACGTCAATACTACTTAATTTCTGGCTGACATGAACATGATAGGGAGGGAACACAGCAAGAATATTAAGGATTAGCACCGGCGTAAACACCGTGAATAAAAAAACACTACCTACCCAGAAATTCTCTAGGAAGTAGGGCGTTATCATCTTGTTTTATTCCTCTTCGCCGCAACTCTTAAATTTGTTGTAGCACAACTTTTAAAGCGTAAATCATTCGCCGTCCTCCCCCCGTTTCTGTTGTATCTGCCTTTCCCCGTTTTCCTACTCTCCCCTTTCTTCTCCCTCCCCACCTACTGACTCCACCTCCACTCGGCTGTGCTGAATCTCTCTCTCCCCTGTGGTTTCTTCCCGTATATATTCAGACTTTTGAAAGATGAAACAGCGCTGCCAATGGCGGATAATGATAAAAACACCGGAGCAAACGACTGGCCGTCGCTAGGTAAAAAATGCTGCCTTCATGTGCTCCGCGTAAACTCCTGTATTCGACTCAAAATGTAGCAGCGGCAGATTAACTGTGGAGGATTAACTGCGAATTAGACGAGAAATTATAGTTTAAATTGATTGAAAACAGGAACAAAATGAAACAAACACACGACAGACTACAGCAATATACACAGCACCCTTTATACTAAATTAAATCATATAATAGACTATTATATTCAAAACAAGCTGCGAACACAACTTGGAAAAACTCCTCTCATTAATAATCTAAAATTCTGCTGCTTTTCTGCAGGTGCGTATTGCATTAATTATTTTTACAGCTTTAGTTCATCACGCATATTGAGAATATTTTTTACTGACATGTGTCATCTATGTGAATTTATGTAGATCTGTTTAATTACAGTAAAGTACAGTACTATTGTCGTTTATATTATTGATAATACCAATTAACTCAAGAAATAAGAGGGAGGAAACACGTTTCAAATACAACTACCTTCCTATATTGTTTTTTATAAAAAATATTTCATGTGGGAGAGGAATGGGTTGTCTCAAGGGTTGCCTTCAAATTTAACATCAACCTAGTAAGTTAGGTCCATTTTTTTCGGTTGTGTAAATAATCTTGCTACAAGCTTTTAAAAACCTATCATGGGACATCTGATTAAATCACACACCCACATTGTGAAACGTGATATGTATGCAAAGTTGAATGCCACACTAAAATCTAAACCTGATTAACCCAGGTGACCTGAGCCTCAGCCACTGTCTAACCTGATAAACAATAGGAGAGGCCTAAGAGACAGGAAGACTTTGGAGACGTGGTAAACATCTCCATTAATATTAGGGTAGCTGCAGTAAAAACTACAAAATCTAAGCAAGACAAAGGCCCATAATAGTGTAAACAATTTATTGGAACAATGTACAGATTCAAGCAATGGTAACCAGTCACATCCACTATATCATCTTACAAATATTACAAAATTACTACAGTACAATATAGATTCTTTGCATGATCCAAAATATTTGGTGGCCCCAAAGTATTATTATTTTTTTAAATTCAGCAGCTTATTAAAAAAAAGAAAAAAACCAAAAAAAAAAAAAAAAAACCCAAACCATGTCTATCAAAATGATGTTTTTGCTTTTACTAGCAAAAAAGATGAAGGCAGATCGTCTAATCAAGTTTGAAGGCTAAATGAGAATATAGTTCTTTGACTAGACATTCCTTATTATTGATGGGTGCTTTATAAAATACAAATTTTCAATAAAGCTTTATAGAAAGTCAAACGTATATAACATTGTAAGTTATCAACCTATTTCTTTGCTTGTAAATTAGTTGTTGTTACCTGTTTCTTTAGATACCGTGTACTGTGTATCAATAGCAAAACACCAACAAAACCTTAGTCTTTGCTCTCAAGGCATTTCCTACCGTAGTCTGATATCACTTTTGACAAAAAGTACATTATGTATGTGCAAGATCCATTTTATTCTCCCCCCTGCCTTGCAATTGTAATCACATTTGACAGCTAGCAGTGTTGCACACATAACATCACGTCAATTAACACCCATGGTTATCCATTTTTAATATGAAGGGTGAGAGTTTTACTAATCTTTAGTTGTTGAGATGGATAAAGGCATACACATTGGGGAAATGATAACAAATAACACTGAACACAGACAACCTGAGGTTAACACATAGAAAACACATATTCAAGTAGTGAAACACAACTACAATGTATAGCAGCAGTCAAGTCAGAAATACAGCACAGTAATGGTGGGGATTGTTTCACGTGTGTTTTATAGACCTACACTCTTTCAATGAAAGAATAACAGGACTGTGCACACACACACACACACACACACACACACACACACACACACACACACACACACACTCCATCAAGCCGTGATTACTCCATTTTTTGCATGCCAAACAGCTGGAATGTGACAGACAAAATCACTTCAAAACACAAAATGATGTGGCACATACAAGCCTTTGCCTCTGTATTCCATGATGCATTATATTCTGTATCGACCACTGTTTACCTCATTAATGTTAAATCTAAGAGACGAGTGTCATATTTTATATTGTGAACATCTTTATAAGACACTAAACTGCTTTCACAATCAAATAACTTATTGCTACTACTTATTGCATTAGGTTAATACATTTTAGCAGCAATACTTAAGGATCTTCGTTAACACTATGGTCATATTCTGAAGGGTTTGGCTACATCATTAACTTCAAGCACTTGCAATTTAAAATTTAAGTGCATGTCATGTGCGTCGTCACAAAGGGTTAAAATACTGCAGTTATTACTCTGGCCAGCAGAGGAAAAATGACTGGCAGGGCTTAAAAAAACAAAACAGTAAAAAACAAAAATCTTCCCATCTCTCCAACCCATCATGGAATACATTCAGGCCATCTGTAACTTAAACACTTACACACTTTATAAAATATAACAGAGGAAAACAACCAGAGACAATAACATTGTTGTAGTTTCACAGTATTTAAAAACTATACATCCAGCTATGGGGTAAATGTTTGGGGGAGAACACTCCAGCAAGAAAATGTGAAGTTATAAAAGTCCCAGTGTTGCAATACATAAATGGTTACTATGTACTTTTTAATCCTTTATTTGAACCTCCCCTCCCTCCCGTAATCCCCTTCCCACTATATGTTGGGGTGTGAGGGGCCACCAACATGCAAGAGATGAAAGCATCCAAGTACCCCACAAAACACAACCACCCAAAACACTATACAGTCATCCTTAAGATCATGCTTTTAGCACAAGAAGCCAAACACCCAGGGAAATTTTTTTTACTTCAGTACACTGAGAAATAAACATTTAACATTCATCCAATGGACTGCATGGTTCTGACAGCCAATGTCACAAAAATCACTAAGACAGGATTTGTGTCACCACGGTGTCTCCTACGCGCTTCTCCTTCACTTTTCCTTCATGAGGCTCAGACAATATAAAGGACTGTAAGCATCTAAAGCTTTGTTATGCTTGCTGATGAATGTTCATGTCACATTCACACTACAAGACCAAACTGGGAGATGCACTCCAACTTTACATCACAGCCAAGATTTGACACGTCCTAAATTTCGGTGTGTAAACCCAGTCATGCTACATTACAGCTGATTGCTGTAATTCTCTGGTAGAGGAAACAAAAGTACTGTAAATAGATAAATTACAAGGTCAAAGAAGAACCTTATCACAGGGCAATGACGGCTGTCAAACGCAACACACATCACTAATGTTCCACAGCTTTTCACAATGATACAAGCATGCTACCTATTCCCAGAAAAGCTGCTCTTAAAAGAAAGTCTTGTGCTCTCCAGCGACATAATTAACAGCGCTTGCCCTGCTAAACGATAGGAACATTGAAAAAAAAAAAAATTCTGATAACTATATAGGAGATAACTTATTCTTGGTGATATGCCGCATTATAAAATTAAATTCTCCAGAGTTAAATCCAATATGATGCATTCTTAGCATCAGCTGCTATACCTTAGTTTTAAGCTATCCTTGTATTTAAAGAAGAGATCTCTTGATGAACCTTCAACTTCACTCCATTTTATAAGGGCAGTCTTGTACTCTACTGGTGGAGTGAAGACCATTTTCTGCACAAACCTTTCAATATGTGCAAACTCCTCATCCAACCAAAACTAAAGAGCAAATGCTTTACAGAATTTTGCAAAGTTTTCTCCATTTTTGCTTACATTTCTTTTCTGTAATTCAGGTAACAGAAAACAAAATGTTTAGAGAAAAAGGTGATAAAATTTCATTATTTCTGATTGAGATGTGATTAGATGAATTTTCCTCCCATGATAAAGTTGTTCAGCCGGTCCCTTCCCCCCTTGCCTGTGCATGGGGGCAGTGAGTACTGCAGCTACCACCTCCCTCCCACCCCGTCTGTCAGGTTGGGGAGGGGTCAACAACCCCTTCCCTCCCCTCAGCAGGCAGACCCTTCCCCCCTAGTAAAGGGTAACATGTTCCCTGGGTAAAAGAGGTTCCCTATATTGTCTCCCATAGTGAATGACCTGTGCAAAGAAAGATATGCCTCATTAGAATGCAACACAATCCTACAAGAACATATCTTTTATATTAAATATTGAAATCAGCATGTTTTTAACTTTATTTTCTACTCATGGAGAGGAAACTGACCCCTGTAATGGAGGCATACTGCTGTGGTAACAGTTACACCCCGTAAAAGCTTGCCAGCCGTTCCTTCAGTGGCATGGGGAACTGATCCGAGAAGCGCCTCCAGTTGTCCTCTCCCACCTGGTTCTTAAACCCGTGAAGGATCTGAAATGAAACACCAGAAATTCATACCAAGTTATAACGGAGTGATGGCTTTCAAAATAGACCTTGTGCATGACAGGGTTGTTATCAGTGTCAACTATAGACAATGCCATTCCTCCATGTGGCCACTGGGGGGCAGACAGGGTGACTGAGTGAGTGAATAAACATAAATGCACAAGTGAATATTCTTCTCAAATCATGGAAGTCATAGTTCAAGTTTAAACATTAATTTTATTTTGAGGTCATTTATTCAATGAGTTCAGCCACATTTGAATTGTGATGTAATACAGTACATTTTAGCAATTTGTGTTAAACACCCAATTTTCAGCTTTTACCTTGCCGAACATGTCTCTGAGATCCTCCTTTGGATTTACCCAGGAGGCCACTGCGTCACAGAAGAATATAAAATCCTGTTCCAGAGAAGAGAGATGATGCAACATTTCAACTTGGAGAGACAACATAATGACCACGCTGCCATCGAATTGCTGGACCTCACCTGCACTACACCTCCCGGATTTACACTGATCATAGTGCAAATTCCTCTGAACGCAGAGTCTTTTTCCTCATTGTCTCTTATATTTCGTAGAGAGGTGCACCTGACAACAGGGACGACCAAATTTAACATCAGACATAAAAAAACAAAAAACAAAGGGTTCTCAAGTAACAATTTTAGAAACTTCTATAAATCTACTAACAACTGACACTTTGAATACCTATATGAATCAATACACTGATATTGGATTTGTGAGAAATACACAAATATAAGCTTTTTCGATCCTTAATATAAATGTAATGTTGGCGTTTTCTTATCATCATCAATACTAGTCGTCCTTATCAATAAACACATGGGGGGTACTATGTATACATCCATGTGAGGAGATAATTCTGTCTATCATGACCTGAGAGATAACCACAACAAGTCAAGCATGCACACAAAACAGATTAAAATAAAACAAATCAAACATTTTTACTTTTAACAACACTACTTTGAGCTCTTATAACTTCACTTTTGTCTATGAGCAGTGTGTTCAGAAAACCTCATCTATAGCACCTTGAAAAGAACATTACTTTTTGAAAGATTGACTAGAGAAGTTTTGGGGTCATTTTGGGACAGGCACATGCAGCTGGGTGACTACTAAATGAGAAAGGGATTTAGGAAAGCTCTTTTTTTTGCAGTAAAGACTGCATCCCTTCTCTGTTGTTGAACCAGCAGGCATGTGACAAATCTGATCCCATGCATCTTTTAGGTTAGCGACAATTAACAATGACAAAAAACTAGAAATTAAAAAAATTAATGTATAATACATGAAGGTGCTACTGAGGCAAAAACCAAAATCACAAGTAGGACCTAAAAGAGGACAGGGTTAGTCACATGGTTGGCAATGATTACAAACTGATAAGAAGAAAAAAAACAACAACAACAACAACAACAACAACTGAAAAGACTTCTTTTGAGAAGGAAAGTGAGGAGTGAGGAGAGCAACAGGGGAGAAAAGGGAGCAACAGGAGACAGACAAGAAGATAGGAAGAAAGCAGAGAGAAGATGAATTAAATAAAAGATTGAATAATACACACCAGGGTCTTATAAACTGCTGTAGCATGGGTGCCACCTCTTGAGGACAAACGTAACCAAGACGACCAATTGTTATTGCTAAGGTAACGCAATCACGGTTACACACCACCAAACGCCAACCAAGACATGAGCAATGAGGAGGGGAGGAGAAAAATAAAGAAAAAACAAACAACTCAGAGACATAAATCAACAGAATCTGTGTATGATAATAAGTAGAAGATTTCACTAGCGTTGATTATTACTGCCCCTTCAGTCATGGGGAATGTAAAATATGACACTCTTAAAAAAAACATACAACACGTTTAAGGGAGAACACATTGACAACTTTGACAGGACATTCATAGAAAAAGGCAAACAATGGCATCTGCTTTCAGAAATCATATGGATCGAACAGCTATTCAAATCTATTGTGGAAGTGATTGAAATTCATTAGCTTGATTTAGATCTCAGTGTAAAGACACAGGCTAGCTAAGGTGTAGCATGTGTATGTGACTGGCCTAAACAAGAGAAGTTCACTTGGGCTTTCAGAGATTTCTCCCTTAAACTCACAAATGTTAATTTTCCATAAGAAAAAAATAAATGTTTTTTTTTTGTTCTTTTGAAAAGAAATGACAGATTACTCCAAGCCAACTACATGGAGGGAGACTAGTATCCAGCACAGCAGGTTCTTATGAGGCAGAGAGGAGGGAGGACCTAAGTTTAAGAGACACAAAACTATGCAACATTCTCATTAACAAACAGGCATTTATGAACAGTCCAATGACACATGCAGAAAGCAGATGGTATGCTCATTAGAATACAGTTCAGTGCAGGATAAGCTGATCAAAGATTGGAAAGTGCTGCCATGCACTGTTCAAGAATTTATTGCCACTCCCACCTTTAACTGGCGGTGGTATTACATGGCAGTCTAATTTAAATTTAGTTCCAGAGATAAACTGGTTCTCTTGGAAATCTCTACGACAGACGTGAGATTTATACATGGCCAAAACATCTGATTTTGTTAATTAGCTTTCTGTTGTGTTTTCAATTAATACAGTGAAAACATACAAAAAAATGGTGAAAAAGTTCACTCTTTCATTCTAATGAAACTCGACTGGCATGACGCAGTAAAAAATTTCATGTATCCTGCATCAAACATTGGCCATTCTTAACAACATTTAACATCTATTGGCAGATATGCATCCACATTTAAAGAACAGTAAATAAAAGCAACAAATAAACTGACAGCAAACAAACAGGACCACATCTACAGAGTCCCTAGATCTTCTTTAATTTAGGCAGGTTACACATCACACTTAGTTAGAACATATTTTTGAGATGGTCTCTTTGACTCATCCAATGATTTTTTCCAATTCAATTTAAACCAAGAGCACTGTGTAACCTTTAAAAAAATGCTCTAGGCTAAGGGCCCTACATTTAGTCAGTTTAGGTGTTCTTTCAATCATTTATGAGTAGTTATCGTTCGAGTGTCTTTCTCAAGTCTTACAGCAACAGTTAACTATGTGAGACTGTGAGCTCACCTATCTATCTCACACACTGCCTGTGCTTTGCATTTTGTTCTTCAGTATTCTACTTCATCTGATGGTGCACAGTCAGTCCACATTAGTAAATTCCAAGACTGGGTGCTTACACGGCTCACTCGAATAATGGCTGTCAAGAATTTTACACCAGGGCTCGCCCAAGAATGCAAATCAATAGCTGAAATATTTAGCATGCTTTGTGAAACCAGCGAAACCTGTAAGGCTCATGGCTTGTGAAGGATTTTTGAACAGAGATTAAAGGATAGGACAGGCACCCCTAATGAGTGTGATGATCCTGGCTGAGTGGACCTGAGTGTGTGAGCACCTCCCTGTGTGTGGCGAGCTGGCTGGCTGGCTCAGCACTGCCACCGAGTGGTACCTGTGTTCTCCAGTAGAGTCTTTGGGGTATTTGGCCTGTTAATGATCTCCACCAGTTGGTGCAGCACCATGGCAATGTACGGCTGCATTTCAGGCCCTGAGGGAGTAGGAACAATAAGAGAAGATGGAAAGAAATCTGTTGAGTGTTGATTCTAGTGACTGTAATTTGATAACAAAATATACAGTGTAAATGGTGACATAATAAACATTTGTGGAAAGTGAGGCACTCACCCATTTGTATAGATATCTCTCCAATTGCCCATGTTGCATTGTTGCACACTGATATTAACTCCGGGTTTAAATTAGTACCCAGTATGGGCATAAAATCAGCTGGAAGAAGGAAAGAAAGTCAACTTAGCAACTGTCTAACAACTTATTGCTAAACAGGCTTTTTGAGCTAATGGCACAGAACATACCGATGCATGGTTTGACGTGTTGGAAACAAGCCTTGGTTAGATCCCCAAGCAGAGCAAAAGAACTCTGACGCACCTCTGGCATTTTGTCCTGAACAGTTGGAGAGAACAACAAAAGGTGAATAATGCAAGTGACTTTTATCAGTTTATCAGATAAGTGGCATGTTTGACAGCTCTTCACCTGCATGCACTGGTACATTAGAGTGAGGATATTGCTACGAGCAACCAGCTGCTCAATGGTGCCTCCCAAACCCTCAGCCAGTCCACTGAGAAGATCCAAAGCCACGATCATGAAGTCTTTGTCAGGAGCCTCATACTGGTCTGGCTGTGACTGATGGAGCTGAGAGTGGAGGATGATAGAAAAGATTATAAGAGTTGAATTATATCTCTATGAATTATAATTACTTATAAAACCTGAGTTATGATGTAAAGTTAGGTAGTTATGAAGTCAGCTGTCCATACTGAAATTCATTTCCCATCCACAAGGTAAAGTTCACCTGTACATCTGTACGTTAAATCTTCATTAGATGATTTTTTGGCCACTTGGGGACAGTGCAACAAGCTCTTAACAAAACACTGACATAATAGGTGAGCTCCAGATGACTGCAGCTGACTTTTGGGTATACGAAACACTGGCGGAAAGAAGGACACATTCAAATTCCCATAGAGTGCGTGAGCTTAGAACAATGACTGCGAAATCAGGCAAAAAGTTGGTTCCCACTTGGTGCAGCTGGAGAAAAGCAGCTGGAGGTCACCAGATTCTGATAACTGCAGCCGCCTTCAGTCAGACAAAATTTCTAACCAGCATGCCGTATGTTAAGTGCAGCATGCATGATGTTATGTAAGTACTGTGAAGCACTGAATGAAGTCAAACTCACCTCTTATGACCTTATAAAACCTGATATGGCGAATGTGTTAGCAAAAAAAATTTACCCAGACACAACATCAGCATTTATTTTGTGCTGACCTGACAAATGTAAGGCCAATATATTATCCCCTTTTAGCTTTGTTTTGGTTTCCGACAATTCCTGGTAATAGGGAATATGGAAATATCTGGTACTGGGGAGGTAGTGTACAGAGGGGTCAAAGGGGTATTTGAACTTTATAACTGAAAACAGCTGCCTGCAGCATATAGAACTGAGGTTGGTGAGAATGTGATACTGGACCCAAAACAGTAAAGCTGTGGCCTGTGATTAATTGTTAATACAAACATATTGATGACAGCAGCTTTTAGTTTAGCCTGGCTGTATGGAAGGTCCAGCAGCTCAGACAAGCACCTTTTGTATATAAAGAAAATGTAAAAATGTAGTGAGAGCGCTTGTGTTTTTGTACGTGTACACATTTAAGGGTCCTACACACTCACCATGGCCTGAGCAAGAGTCTTCTGGACCAGGTTGACACAGCGTTGGTACACAGGTTCACAGTAGGGCAGGAAGCCACTCTGCAAGGCAGTAGCAACGGACGACAGACACTGAGGAAGGCAGACAGGGGGGTAGATACAGTCAGTGGTCTGTCTGTACAATGTTATCATCATAGAACTTGGACTGACACAACAAAACTGACTCACTGTCAACTAAAATATTTGCGCAGGCAGCAACTGCACATCAGAAACTCACTTCTAATAAAGGGAAGAGATCTTTGTCTTCATCTTTCAGCTGGTTCCATTTCTGGATAAGTGGAGGCATCAACATCTGGATGTATTCCTAATAAATAACAGATTAAATGAAGTCTTTACACAGACATTGTATGCAACTTATCAGTGAGTATGATCATTACAGACAGAGATTTGTTGATGCTTGTTCACCTTCTGGGCATGATGTCTATAACATAAGAAAGTACACTTAACCACTACTAGCACTACAAAAGTGAAATGAGGAAATTTTATGTGTGAAACAGAGTTCTCATTTTTGTTCTCCATACCGGTTTATTGAGATGATGCCCCACTGAGTCTGCAAGTGTTCCTATGGCATCGTAAAGAATGAGCAGATTTTTGTGCTGGTACTTGCTGAAAGCAAACACCAGCGTGTCCAAGATGAATGCCAGGTAGGGCACCAACTCTGTACAAGCCTCCTCCTCCAAAGTGGCAAAGGCACTGGTTGGGAGAGATTAAAAAAGGGAGAGGGAAGAAAACCTCATACAGCAAGCAATCTGTGACTATAACCTATCTGAAACACAAAAAAATAGATGGATGCATCTCAACACCCCAAGGAAAAATATGTGGGTAGCACCAATCCCAATGCTGCACAGGATTCCTAATGTGTGGTAAAATGGCATGGCTTTATCAGGACTTCTTGCTCACCTGCAAGCAGCCTCCTGCACACGCTTGTTGCTATCCAGAATACGTTTGAGCAGCTCCGTCATTAGAGGCTTCAGGTAAGTATCTGGGGGCTGGCTGACAACCCAGTGGGCATAGCGGCTCAGTGTCCAGCAGGTGATGGAACGCACCAGGGCCTTCTTGTCAGACAAACACTGGACAAGATGGGGAATGAGCTCAGGCAGGTATGGGATCATGCCCTGCATACAGCCTGGAGACGAGGATGAGACATTTTTCATTCATTACATTCCATATTCTGGGGGAGACCTTACTCCCTATGTTGTGTCCCCAATTCTTTTTCCTTTCCCTTCTTACCTTCAGCTATAGCCCCCAGCACTAGGATGCCAGACTCTTTAACTACCCACTCTGGGTGGAAGAGCAGCTCTTTGAGTAGGGGCAGAATGTGCAGCAACAGATCATCCCTGAACACGTTGGCCAACACGTCCAACGCTGCAGCTGAACACTTACCTAATGTTTGGAGAAAAGTAGGGAGACGCAGACACAAACACAGAAGAAGTGTGTGGACAAACATCATACAGACGTAACAGGTACAGTACACACAAACACAAGACAAGTAATCAATACACTGCATGGTTCCTAGCTCTTAGTAAAGTTAACAGGAGATGATGAAAAGGGACAATTTATTATGACAAGGAGGCAACTGTAGAAGGTAGTTGTAGACAGCTCCATGTACACAGGCACTGAACTCACGCAGGTTCCAATCAGAGATAGTATCATCATCATCATCCAGTTCATCATCTTCATCTTCGTCGTCCTCTATCCCATCGCCCTCATGCTGCTGGGCAACTGTGCGGGAGCGATGGAAGCGCGGTCTGATGTCTTGCTCGTTGTCCGGAATGGCCTCGTCTTCCTCAATGTCCCCCTGATGACAAATGTACGGGATGAAAGAAACAGGATGTTGCAAATACATTTTTTTTTAAAACAAACAAAAAGCAAAATCACAAGCACCACGAAAGTTAAAATTTATAAAACTCACACATATTTGTACACCACAGTCTCACAAACAACTTAATTGAACTGCGTGTCATCCTGAGTCATGGGGCAATTCATCCTGATCCCTACAGGTACAAATATTAAAGCTATATAAACTGACCTTGAGCAGGATAATGTCAATCTCAGAGTACTTCATCCCGTTGACAAGCACCGGAGTGAGCCTGGAGAAGAAGCCAGAGGAAACATTATGAGAACAAAGGGCAAGGATAGGTTGAAGTCCACAAGAAATCACTCACATGTGATTCCTGCTTCGGGCTCAGTTTAACATGTCAGTGTGGTGACAGATTTACTGCATAGGTCAACGGCCAGGGTTCTTAATCAGCCGTCCTGAGGTGAGGAGGAAGGATATCATCCCAAGGTCTTTTCTAACTTACTACTGTATGAATCAAGAGCTTTCAATATTTGTACTGGCGTGTCAGTCTGTGTATTGCATGTGTGTGTGTGTGTGTGTGTGTGTGTGTGTGTGTGTGTGTGTGTGTTCTTACTGGGAGAGGTGTCCACACAGCACTTCCTTACACACTGGCTGCTCCGCCAGAGTAAGCCAGAACTCACAGGCCTCCAAGGCAACATTTTCATCTTGGTCCTGAGTCCTCTGTAGCATGTACTGGGGTGGATGAAAGACACGATAAATCTCACATACTACTTCTTTGCAAAACGAAATATCTCATTCTAAAAAATGTAAAGTAACCACATCTGTAGCCTAATTGAGACACAAGTACAACCCTGTGTCTCAGTATCGTTAACGAATAAGAGCGGCATTATTCCATTGTTATTATTACCAACACATTCCATGAATAGACAACAACTAACAGTGCATTTGTCTCCAAATACTTGGACCGAGCCCATTTGTGCCTTACTGACAGGCTGGGTACTGCAGTTTTAAGCAATGTTTACTCAAACAGGAGTAAGTTGTGTATTTGCTGGGGACTAGTATTTATTAGGGGTGTGACAAGACACTTAGCTCAGAAGATCAGATCTTTGGAAATCTTCAATGCTGAATTATATGAAATGTTTGAGCACTGAACACATAATTTCATGCAATCTGGTGATTTTTTTGCACAAATTTCTACCTCTTTCGTATCAATTTATGGTGGCAATGTTTTTATTTCTTTATATATTCAAAATATAAAAACAGAATATTATGCAGTAAAGCATTCTGTATTGCTTTCAGATATGTTTCTCCTGTAGATCAGCTTTGCTCATGTAATATCATCTGAATCTGAATCTGACTGAAAACACTTCTGATCAGGCAGAAATCTCACCATAAATCCATACATGTTTAACTTCAGCACCTCCGATAAAGTGCAGCTCACAGTCCCAAACAGAGATAGTTTGAGCCTCAGCTTTTAGATGTTTATACTGCAAAACTCTACCAGTTTTTTGCACTCGATCACAATCTGGCTGCGAATCACAGCATGAGAGGGGGTTCACTTGATTACTATCACAGCGTCCACCGGTGTTGCATCAGCTGGCTGGAGATGATTTGTGAAGCGAGTTGACGTTATCAGTTCTACAATTGTTTTCCCACTGCGTGAGAAAATTGATTTGTGGTGTGAGAGCGTGGGAAAAGTGTCAATTGTGCGAGTCTCGCGAGACAGCTTTTTCCATGATTAGAAATACCATCACCTGTTAATCTTGTCACACCCTTAGTATTTATTGCACCTTCGTGTTTAAGGGGTTGACTCAAATTAAACTACATTGTCCTTGTTCAGTTTCTGAACAACAATGGAGGTCTACTGCACAGAGAAATGAGCTGTGTCAGTCTTGTGCCATGAGATCTCGCAAGATTAACACGTGATGAAATTTCTTGTCATGAGAAAAGCTGTCACAACAGACATTTTTCCACGCGCTCTCACACCACACATCAATGTTCTCATGCAGTGAGATAACGATAACGTCGACTCGCTTCACGAATCGGGCTTACTGTCTTAGGCTATACTCACTTCTATGATGTTATGCATGTGTGGCAGGAGACGGTCCAGGCGAACTTCCAGTAGCATGACTAGAGCTCTGCACACATTCTTCCTCACTTCTGGTTCCTCGTCTGTCGCCAGTGCAAACAGATTCTACAGAGGACAGAGGGACACGAGGGTCAAATATCTTCTTTGCACAGACAACAACAACTACAAACAGTAATAATGATAATTACATAGCACGTAAAATGAAAAGTGTGTTCCAGAAAAAATATGAATGTGGTGCGTCTGTACACGTAGACAGGAAACGATGACCATGTGTAGTCAGACTTGCCTCAATGAAAGGGTCGATGTGCAGCATAAGAGCCTGAGTCCTGCTGATGATGAACTGATTGACACAGGCAATGGCATGAGACCTGCAAGAGCCACACAAACATGTTTTTCTCACATGTTGCACATTATGAATGCAGCTCCTGTCGTCTCCTCTCTCCATTTAACCTCCAAATATGAGGAACTCTTTTGTTCTGTCAACAGGCCTGTTGTATTACTACAGACTGAGATTACAACTGTACAATTATATAGACCATCTGTCTGTCTTCTAAGTATAGTGTACAGTATGTGTGTGTTTGCTGCATAAAACATACTCACTAGCGATGATTAATTTATGAGTTAAGATAAGCTCCAAAAAGAAATCAAAATTCACTACATCATAAGAAAGGGGAAGGGAGAGGTAACGTTTAAATGGCCTATTTTTACACTTTATAATTTTGGTGTTTTTCAACCTGGACCTTATTTGACCATGTTTGTTATGTTTGTGTCTAATTGGGACATAATTTCTTGAAATTGGTCCATTATTCAGCAGGCGCATTGTCATTGGCAGCAGCAAAACAGGGCAAGTGCGCCCCATCAGAGCGCGTCAAGTAAAGTGTTTTTGCCACTGACAGGCTCAGATTGTTTTAAAGAGTAAGATTTTTGTTTAAACAAAAACAGCCGCTATATCACTCTTATCAATGCTACCAGACTCCACTGATAAAGACAATTTACCTCACAGTACACGGGAGTTGCTAGTCTCTAGTGTTTTTAACTGGTGCATCTTCAGTTAAAAACACTCTAGACAAAAACAAATCCATGTTGAAAAATACCGTAGTTACCATTCAAGATTTAACAGGCCATAAGATTCTGCAAAAAAAAAATCTGTACAATAAACTAATGACCATGTATCATCAATATGTAAATGAACTGAATGGAATTCATGAACATTTGCACGCCATAGATCTTCCACAGCTTCCAACAGATTGACTCATTGGAAATTAAATAACCTAGTTGGAGAGAAACAAGTTTGATGCAGCCAGGATTGACAGTTTGACTTTATAGTCAAATTAAGTGGTAAGTATAGGAAGTAAACTTCATACCTAATCTTCGGACTACTGTGCTTGAAAAACTGCAAGAACTTGGGGATCATGATGTTCAGAGGACGATCCAGCATGTCACTGTCCAGGATCTCAGCAGAGTCCTCACAGATCTTCTGCAGGGCTCCAAACGCTCCCTGACAGACACAAAAAAGGAGGAAAAAACAATAGAGAACGTGAAGAAAATTCCACTGTTATGAAATCTTAGCATTTACCTCTGTCTCTCTAATTCTACCAGGCAGTTAGGCAGGTAATAGCCCAAACTACTGAGATACTGTGTCTAAGAATAGTAACTGTGATGGTACCAATTCCTGAAAGGAATTTCTGTTGTTGCCCAACCCCCACACCCACCCTCAAGGTAGGTTAGACTGCAGCTATAGACAAGAGCCTGTGGAGAGGGAAAGGATTTAGGTTTCTGTTTAACTTTTGTGTTATTAAATTTTTGCAATACAATCTCAACATACTGTTGATATGGGTTCATATTTTATTGGCTATGCAGCGAACAAATATAATATCATATATGTTTACATAAGGACAGATCATACAGAGGATCTTGTTCCAGTTTTTGCACAGTGTGAGTCCATGATCTTCAATAGGATTCATCCACTTCTGCTCTAATAACCTTCAAACAAGCGCGTGCACACACACACACACACACACACATTCACCTCCCTTAATACTCGGTGCTTGGCTGATGGTTAGTATGCATGTTCACAATATGCTGCAGATTTCAGTGTCTCTCACGAAAATGCAGTCTGAGAACAGAACAGCACTGACACAGACGCTGTCTGAAATGTGTTTCCATGGCAACCGTTCCCTTTCGGCATTCCTTTGAGATGGCAGATACAGAACGGTCTCAAAAAATATGGAGGCATAAAAGGAATGAAATAGATAATGAAGGATAAGATTGAGACTGTGTCAAGGTCAGAGACAGGGGGAAACTGAGGGGAATACAGTATTTCCAGATCGGCCTCGTGTTAAATGAAAAACAAAGTAAAATCAGTTTCAGAGCCAGCACAGGAGATTTCATTGTGGAGTTTTAGAATAAAAAAACACTATTTCTTTGGGTGACAAAAAAAATAAAAAATACTATGCATGACACAAAGACTCACTGGTGGTGAGGTTTTGAAATAAAAAGGCATGACGTAGCTGAATAGCACAAAATGTAATAACACTCATGAACACAAAGGAAGCCAGATTTAGCTGATTGAGCAATTTCTGTTAAAAAAGTTTTGTTTGGATAATTGTGGAAATTGAGCTGAAATGATTAATTAATTAACCATTAATTAGCAGATCGATTAATCAGCAATAATTTTGATCGTTGTTGAATAATTTTTTTAATGCAAAAATGCCAAAATATTTGATGATTTTACAAGATTTGCTGCTTTTCTCTATTTTATCTCTCTGTATACTGAACATACACTGACATTTTATGGACAAATCAAGTTATGTAGCAGCCTTAAATTTTCCAGTCAGTAGAAATACAGTCCTTCATATCAAGCAGAATGCTATAATCGTTATATAGTTTAGTCGAATAAATGACATCCATTTTGGGCTCTGAAAACACTAATACATTGATATGTAGCTCCATTAAAACTTGTCCCATGGGAAAATGTATGGAGCAGAACACAGGACCGCTCCCACTGCAGTGTGACCATGTCTCAACAGAGAAGGGCAAAGAAATGGGAGTGGCCTTCAAGCATTCCAGTGACGCTAAAGCGTCTGAAGTGTAATCCTCCCTTCAAGTCCTGCTATGGAAGGTCATTAAACACAAGAATGTAAGTCATGCAGATGAAAGCCAGCCAGGGGAAAAAAAGAGATATGTATTTAATCAAATAAACAGCTCCTTCCGGCTGCTGCTCTGGAAATATGAATAATGTCTAGATGATATGTTTTCATATATGATCATTTGTCCTCAACTTGACCATCACCATACCATCCAATTTCCAACTGCCATTTATCAAAAAAGTAAAACTGCTTTCAGGCAAAACCTATATAAAGCCAACATTGCACTTGACATCCAACACACCTGCTCATGTCTGTTTATAGAGCATGTAGAGAGGGGTACAGTGTGGTTGCTCAAAGGGCTCTTCCTACAACTGCTGCTCTTAAACCACAAACAAGACAGAACCAATGATACCCCTGCATCTCCTGATGTTACCAAGATATAACAGAAATGCATGTAATTTGTTATATAGCTTGAAACTATTTAAAAAAAGGTTTATATAAAGAACACACTGAAATACCCCAATGTAAGATAACACATTACTGAAAGCTAACAGCTACACACCCCAATTATACCATGTATCCAACCCTCTCTCCGCCCAACATCAGCAGACATTAGCTCAGCGTGAGACTGTGGTGCACTCATAGTGAGGTTAATTCAGTTACACAGTGATGAGGATCATATTGCATAGAGATACTGTAAATGCACAACACAGAGGACATGCAGACTGGTCAAACTGGAGGCAAACATGTATTCACACGTTAAACACTAAAAGTATACAGCCACACTGGTGACACTGTCAGGTTCCTTTAAAACTTTGCTCAAAACCCACTTATTTCGAAAGGCCAACCCCATATAACTCCAACTTCCACTGGCTTCATGATAAACTACTTTCTTTTATTTTTTTAATTGTTTCTCTATTCTATCTTATTTTTGTTGTTATTTTAAATTGTGTCTTGTTTTATTTTCTTTGTTGTATTTGCCTCCTTGAAATGTATTTAACTGTTTTAATCTGTAAGGTGTACTAATAGTAATAATAATAATAATAATAATAATAATAATAATAATAATAATATTATTATTATTATTATTATTATTATTATTATTATTATTATTATTATTATTATTATTAAATGTATTAAAAACACTTAGAAAGAGCAAGAAAAGACCTATGGCAGTGCAAATAACCTTCACTTCCCACCACCATGACATTGGACCGAAACATGCAGGTGACTAGCCAAAACTACTTAAAGCTTTTAAATGTATTTTTTGCACCTTTTACAACAAGATCAGAAGACACTTTTTTCATCCAACACCAACTTTACCACCGTTAACATCAGATGCTAAGAAGCTTTCCAGCCTGCAAGCTGCTTTTCAAAATCATAGTCAGTCTTATGAGTAATTGCTACATTTGGTCGCTGCTCACTGTTAAGCCTTGTACACACATACACTTCAAGATCCTCTGCAGTAAATAGCTGACCTAAATCTCAGCCTCTGAATGGGCTTTATAAAAAGAGGCGGGTTGTGGTTTTAAAAGGAGAGCCACTTCGCCGTCATAACTCTAATATGAACATTCCTGCTCCAAGGATGTGATGAGTAATCCTGCCAGGATTCAACACAGCTGAATTTAGCGTGGTTGTTTAACATGCTACTTCATTTATGCGTGTTCTCCGATGTAATGCATCCACCTTCCCTATAGCGGCTGATGTCACAGGCACATGCAGCTGACAGCATATTAATGAGCAGGGTGCGGCACCACTACACAGACCAGATGATCAAACATTCACTACAAGCTAAGTAATTTTAGCAGCCGCTGCAATGGAGCATTTGTCAACCATTTGCAGAAGGGCTGATATCATCAAAAACTGATGACAGCAAGCACTTCTACTTGAAACAATCAAGAACTAAAGATAAGTGGTGTACTGTAGAGCAATTATAGGAGTTAATGATATTTGTTAAAATACAAAGAATTGGATAATGATTTACAACAGAGGATAAAAACAACTTGCAGGCAGAACAACACTATGTTCTTTTTGCTGATGTGCACATTATAAAAGCTATTCTGATGAGGATGTGTGCCAAGTCAGAAAATGGGGTCACAATGATTTTCTGGTAAAAAAAAAAAAAAAAAGAGAAAAACAAGGACAGAAAGAGAATAAATGATTCCATGCTGAATAATCTGTAGTTGTGGCTGTCACTCCAGCTGTGAGACTGCCTTTAGCTCATCTGGCCAGCAGGATGCTATCCAGCTGCTGCTTTATAGCTGAACCAGCTTTCCTCTCTTTCCACAATAAATAAATAAACAAAGAAACAGACGTGCAGTGCTGTGTGCCCAGGCATGGTTCCTTATAGCACAAAAATGCTATAACACACACACCTTCTGATGAGCTGATTGTGCGCGATTTTAGAAGAACTAAAATCATATTTATAAAACAACTTTTCTGCATCTCCAAATAACACAAAAATTACATTTCCATTATATCCAAATAAAAGTAGTTTCCCTAAAACATACTGCAATATACAGACTGGATTTGTCAGTCCCTCTTTCATGTCTGGTTCTAATGCTCGGCCATTAAGCTGGTCTGGGGGTGGGGCGTGGAGGCTGCATAGTATATCAAACACGTTTAATTTTAGGATTTGAATGAGGACAAATCTTGACCTGTTAAATGCAGAAGCATTTATTTCAATTTTAAATCTTGAGTTAGTTTGTCAGAATATATTTTATTCAGATTTCCAAAGGCCATCTCTGATTTATGCAAACAAATATTATTCCAATGTTTCCTCTTATTAACATTATGGTGTTATAACAGAATTGTGTATTTTTAGACGATGTAACATTTATCAAATCCAGAGATTTCTTCCTCATATTTCCTGCTCTGTGTATGCAAACTTATTAGAAGACCTTTACGGTCATCTATACCATAGATGAGCACTAATGTTTGTATAAGGACACTGTTTCTATCATTCATTAGTGCAGTGTAATGTTTAAAAGATACTGAAGGACCAGACTACTGAGCAGAACATCTGATCCCACAGTCACAAGATCTAATCTACATGTCCCGTGTTCATCCTCACCTCACATGTGTTGTAGTCCTCAGAATCCAACAGCAGGCAGAGTTTAGGCAGAAGCTCTGGCCAGTTTTGTAGCTCTCCCTTGGAGGCGATGGTGGTGATAAGGATACCTGTTATGGAAAGGAGTTACTATTAGTTACACTGGTGTGACAAAACTACTAAGAATGCCCAAACAGTGCTTTCGTTAGTGACCAAAACAAAACCAAGAACCTAAGCAAGAGTCATGCAATTGCAGACTTTCAACATCACAATGCACTGGCTTATAAACCATTTGCAGAGATGTGCTCGTGCACCATATAATATATTTAAATTGCTGTAATATAGATTGAATGGCTGTGTGGCTACTAGTTATGCATGTGTAGATATCAGCATGTTTCTGCATTGATAATCACAAATAAAGCTGAATGCAGCCATAATACCAGGGATTAATTGGGAGCAGATTGACAACAGCCGTGATTTATCTGTAAATGCATAGTATTTGACTAAGAGCTGAGACATTCAAAGCTGACTTTATTCACGCCGATACGTCTTTGGTGTTTCATGTTAATAAGGCTATTTGCATGCACCGTTAGAGGCGCATGCTCTAATAAGGAATGATACATACAATGCACAACGTCATATTCTTGTCCCACAAAAAACTGCAACTATATGTAATATAGAAATCATTAGGAAACTCCATCCTTAATTACATATACCATGATATGAAATGTAACAGGCAAATCAACACAATCAGAAAACTACATGGGACAAATAATGCAAGGCACATTCCCAAAAAAAAGCTTTTAAACAGTCCTCCACTACAGTACTAGGGAGGATTTTTTTTTTCTTTTGTACATATTAACAGATTTATGTTGAGTACTCAATTCATGTAGTCCTATGTTCTAAAGGCAAGCCATCATATTCAGTGGACCGAGAGGATGCCACTTACCCACAGTGGCCCGGATGAGGGGAGATGAGTCGCCAATGTTTTGGAGGCACTCGCTCTTGATGAAATCAGACACGCCATTAGGGAAGTTCTGATAGTGGGCTTTCACGTTGTTCTTCAGTATCAGCCCACTCAGGGAGCGCGTTGGTTCATCTTTGGGGGAGGGTGGAGAAAAGACAGGTTGATGATTTGCAAAATAACATTTTAGCTGAGCACAAAGGCATGGGTAGAGTCAAAACAAATTGTTGTTATTGTTGTAAAATATGGGAACTTGGTCTTTAGTTGCTCAGAGTATCTTATTGCCTTCAAGTTTATTTTTCATTAAACCCAGCACAGTGCTTTAAACTGGGAAAATGCAAACTACATACTGAAGTGATGGATGGCAACAATAATAATTTGTAAGAAATACTAATTATTTACATAATATATTTTCCTTATAAATGGGTAACTTAATTTATTATTGTTGCAGCTGAACTAAGAGCAATAGTGCAACAGCATCCTAACATGTCTTAACACCACTTAACATTTCGGTCGTCTACTGTGCAGACAGTCAAGCTGAGAGTTGAGTGGTGCCAGGAATTAGGTTTAAAATTAGAGTGACCCATATTCTGAGTGCCACATCATCTGTGGCAAAGATGCCATCGGGTCACACGAGTCATGGCCAAACCGACCTGTCACTGAGCAGTTACATAAAAAGGGACATGTCTGACATTCACATTGTCCAGTACCATCAGACGATCTAGGAACACAGTGCAGATACGACAAAACACCACACTGAAACAGACAGAGAGCTTACCTTCCGATTTCAACTTTGTCAAAACAAATATCAAATAGTTGTTAAAGTCTGGATACTGGTTCAGCTGCTCAAGTCTCTGGGAAAAGTGGTTGAGGAAGACAAGGTGCTAACTGTATGTATGCGTTTGTGTGTGTGTGTGTGTGCGCGCGTGTGTGTGTGTGTGTGGGGAGTGCGTGTATTTTGTAGGGGGGCATAAATATGTCATGATGTGTCTAAATACTGTACATACAGAGCCAGATGGTGTATTTAAGGTTATAACAGCGGCTCTGACAACGAGTTAATGATGCAGTGCATATGAAGTGTTATATAAGCAAATCATTTAGGATCACCATGCAACCAGATAAAGGCATAAGGGCTAGCAGCATGGAGTGGTGGATAGTAATTGCGCTGTAATGCAAAAGTATGCGATGACTTGCACAAAATACTGCGCCACATTTGCATTTGATTTGATTTATAATGCACTTTAAATGTTACACGGCTAGAATTACTTGTATTATAATTTATTTTATTTAAATTGTAATCTAACATATTTGTTTTCTGTAAAAAAAAACAAACAAAAAAAGAATTAATAAAAGAGAAGATGATTTATAAACAAGTCCTTTTTATTTATTTATTTATTGCCCTGTCATGAAAGAATTGGGAGTTTTTGGATGTTGATGCATTTATCATAATTAGTATGTATTTCATGCTTATGTATCATGGTCTTTGCACATAAGCTTAGTGTATATATTTTAACTAGTCATATGTTTATTTCTTGTTGACTTATGTTCTTTTCTTGTATGTAGCCTAACCATTGGCGTTTTAGCCTATATTTTAATATGTAATATTGTGGACCATCTGTTTTACTTTTGTTTGCATGTTTTTATATACATCTTTTTTGGACCGGGTGTGTGTCCTTAATAAAGTTTTGCTTGATTGATTGGTATGGTGTAAATGGTTTATGCTAATAGGAAGGTACTAATTGAATGTATGAAGAAACTTTTCCACTTTTCTATCTCCATCAATAGAATCATCAAGAGATCACTATTACAACCATATGTTTGCTTTGGAAATATAATTTCTGACATTTCACACGTAAAACTATATCTATCTAATTCTCAAGCATAACATGAGTGCTATGAGTTCATTTCAGACTAACCGGAACTGCACTATGCCCAGTGTTGTTAGATGATTAATCAGGTTGTGTAGGACATACAGGGGTGGTGCATGAATTGGCTGTTAAGTTAATTATTTCTGATGGGAAAAGAGAAAGAAAAAGAGAGGGCGTGTAGGGAGGCGATTAACTGGTGGATCAAGTCTACATGCGACGTTTGCTTGTAGAGTAATGTTAGCTACGTGTTATTTTATACTGGTATACCACACACACATTTCTAATGTTACAAACGGCTGGACATGAGTTAATTCAGCACGGCACGGCCTGCTTTGCTAGAAGCATGTTGAGCTTATTAACCAGCCAGCACCTGCGTAACGTTACCTGCTTATAAGCACCTCGACCAGTAACGTTATTAGCTATCGCTAGCCTGTTGAGTCTACCTGACATCATCACCAAGCACTAACAAGTAACAAAAACACGTTAATCATCCATTTCTGCCCGGGGAAAGGATACTTGCTGGACGGATCTCTGCGTGGACGTATCTGGCGACTGAGACTCTTTCAGCAGCTGTAAAATTTGTTGAAGTCCTTGCTCGTCTGGCTTCCACTCACACTCCATCTTGCTCTGCTGCTGCTGCGGCTGCGGAGGAGGAGGAAGATAAAGAAATAACACTGGCTAACACAGAGTATTTGCCATCAAACGACTCATAAATGCTTAACCCTAAGATACAAGCACACGTTAACGATGCATTACCTGGACACATTTTACATAAAGAGAGGCGTTTACCTGTTTTGACTTCCCCGACGTACTCGAGTGTAGCTGGCTTTCTGTTCAAATGTGACCGTCTGTCTGGGTTTTCAGACATGGGCCTGTTAAAGCAGGCACATCCGTTTTCGCAACAAGCTGAGAAAAGCTGCGGGCCATACAGACTCGCGTCGCATATATGAGGCTGGCTCATCAGCTGACACACAGCTGAGTGGTCCTAGTGCTAGACGGATCTAAGGGTAACATGAGTGTTTTTATTATTATTGTTACCCTTAAACACCTTCACATCCAACCCCCTATAAGTCAGAGACAGTGGCTGTGAAAAGATGATGAAAGATAGGAAGATTTTGGAACGCAGAGTGAAAGTATCTCATTTTCCCGATAACACTTGAAGGCAGCACTGCTTGTCTGAAGGCCTCGTGACGTCACTGTTGTGATCAACACGGTTGGTTTGGAAGTCGAGTAAACGTAAAACAGTGACATCTAGCGGCTGCTTGCGTTATTTTTATTGAACTACAACTACTTGTTTTAATTAATTTTCTAAACAACACATACTTTGTTTTGTAGTAAATTATGAAAACAAAGTACTATAAATTTCTCTACATACTATATTATTAAATTATTACAGAAATATATTCTACATCATTTATATATTATACATTCTATGTAACAACGTTATAATGTTTGGATATTTCAGTGTGCGGTGGCTTGTTTTTGATTTTTCATTGCTAAATCCTGCAACCTACCAGCACCTGACTGTTGTTGTTTCTGTTGCATGGGAATTTCTTATTTTAGCATTTAATATATTTATAGGAAATATTAAGGATCTCTGCTTTTAAAGCAAATAATAATAATAATAATAGTAATAATGGTTGCGATGGTGATGGTGGTGGACGGGGGATGAAGGGTGGAAGGAGGGATGGGGGGTATATGCTTGAATGTTTTAATGTGAGTATATTCGATATTTGGTATACATTTGTAATTTTAAAAGCCCTTCTATTCAAATTCAAGTATAGAATCAGAATCAGAAATAGAAATAGCTTTATAGGGATACTATGCGATTCTGCAGAGAGTTTGTCGATAAACTCTCTGCAGAAACGCGCATTGCCATGGTAACCAGTCCTACTCTGCTGAAATACAGCAGAATCCAGAGTCTGCTGTCAGAGAGCAAGTTAGCCTCAATAAGAGGGCATGTTTGTAAAAGGTGTGACAACAAGCCTGACAATATTTAAATATGTATTGAAGCAAAATACTTTTCTAAGCCTAAATCTAAGATACGGCGTCTAGTTTATTTATCGTTGATGTGGAACAGCAAAGCTAACGTTACTCACCTGTCCAGCAGAAACAGAGCAACCTCAGCATCGGTTTTCATTCCATTCAAATCTCGTAGACTTTTCCAGCATTAAAACCCCCCACAGATGTTAACACGTGTCTTCATTGTCTCACAATTCCTCAGACCTTTCCCTCTGTGGCTGTTTCTCAGTCATCTTCACAGCTAAAGTCCCGTAAGAAGTCCAGCATGTTTCAATGTACCACTGTTTGTTTACTTTCTCTCTCCCACTGCCTCGAGCGCGCCACCGCCACCTGCTGCTCGCTCCGAGCAGCTTTGTTTGTGCTCAATGTACAGACCCAGGGGCTGTTTTTTTTTTTTTCAGAGCACACGAGAAAACAGAGAGCTACCTACCCATGAGTAAATATTCGTCGAATTTAACAAAAAGTGTATTGGATAAGAATCGCAAAGTACCGCTAGTATTTTACAGGTAGGAGGAATTTACTATGGTGATTAGGTGCCAGACACAGACATAAACATACAGTTGACATAATAGATTTAAAATATATAAATCTGGGATAAACTGATGCAAGTTACAGAAGAATTATTGTGTAAAAGAAAAACAAAACAATGTGGCAGTTATTTGCATGTGTTACAGGGAAAATACAGTAAGTGTTCACAAATGTCAGCAAAGATTTGTCAGCTGGATGGCTAGATAGAAGTGACACTTCTGTAAAATATATCTAACTTATCTTCAACTCAAATAAAGAGCAGGTGGTGTTCACATGTTCTTCCGCTGGGTGGCAGCACACGACAGCACTGCGTCTGATCTGCCGTGAACGTCAGATGAAGAAGTTAGCACTACATTCAGTGCGCTGCTGCCTCTCAGCGTACAGAGCAGCACCCAGTGGACCAGCCTGTCTGTACAATTAATGTCTTTTCTTTCATACTAACGCGTACTTATTCTTGCTACAACAATAGTTATTTCTGGATTCTTTTGACCGCTTTCGGAAGCCCAAGAGGAACCGAGGACGCGTGAGACTTCAGAGTTTGAACAAACAATCCTCTTTGGTCTGCTTCCATTCTGCTTGTGTTAACGTTAGCTATTCGCCAGGAGAGTTATATTTCTGCGGATCCGAGGAAAGATGAGCTTTCTTTTGTGAGTTACACTTGTCTTATAAATGCTTATTTGGCTTGCCATGTAGCTTTGTATTCGAAACATTATCAGTGATATTTGCGTTAGATAGCTAGCTAGCTATAGCATAATATGGGCTATGAATACTTCCTGCACTGACCTCCGAGTGCCTGATGTAATTCGCATTGTTTTCTGTTGGGTTTTTTTTGTTGTTGTTGTGAGAAATAACATCGCCATCCGTATTGGATAATTTATCATTTAAGATTACATTGTATTACGCTTTACCTCAAAACTATAATCTGTACTGTACCGACCCCGGAGCAAATTCTGTGTGAGAGGGGTTCACAGTCTGGCCTGGATATTTGCTGGTGTTAACAGTTTGTTGGCACGGGCTAAGTAAGTAAACCGACGGTGTAGTTGATATTTAGTTAGCTACATAAAAATCTTTTGTTTCACCCTCTGGTAAGGATATGAGTAACTAAATGAACGAAGGGGAGTCAAGGTTAAAAAGCCACTCAACACCAGTTAAGCATTTACCGACTAGGTCACCACCTTTTTCTGACGTTAGGCTACTTAACTTATGGAACAATTAAACTTCTGACATAACGTTATCCTTTACGCTATACAGCATAAATGCCATCATAAAAGCCTCCTTTTTTACTGTTTGTCATGGTTTCTATCCCGGCAGGAGGGTGCTGAGACTCATTTGATTAGCTGCAGCTGATTCCCCATGTTTTATGCTAAGTTGATGTAAAGCACATTTCAGCTGTAGGAGAGGGCATGGGCAACATTTTACTTCAAGACATGGGTATTTGGTTCAACTGCTGTTTTGTCTTGCTCCATGAAAATAAATATAGTTTTTATACTTTCATAAAATTGTACAGGATGTTGATGTTTGATATATATATTGGTTTTAGCACTGTAATTAAAGGAAACACTTTTAGTGTGTGACCTACTATGTTGTGATGACTCACTGAACACACTGACATTCTTGTTTAATGGGGCAGCGAGAGGGATTGAATACAGTACCTCTCCAAATGGCCTCATTAAACATTATAAACAGAGAAACATACTGTTCTGGTCCCCCACTCTGATTCTGCCAAACCGATCAAGTCGATGAGAGCGCAACTCTTTTTGTCAGCTTTTTAAAAAAAACTCCCTCACCTAGGGGGCACGGTGAACTCATATCTGACTACCTCCTCATTTGTCACACTGTTTGTCTTCCTCCCTGACATATGACTCACAGTGGAAACCGTTCATCCAAGACGTTCAAGCCCAAGAAGAATATCCCGGAGGGTTCTCATCAGTACGAGCTGTTGAAACATGCAGAGGCTACGCTAGGAAGTGGGAACCTCCGCATGGCCGTCATGTTGCCTGAAGGGGAAGACTTGAATGAGTGGGTCGCAGTCAACAGTAAGCACACCAATTTTACCTTTAACCCTCTTCCTTAATACACCCTTTTACGTTCAGATTCCTGGTAGTGACCTCACCTTCACACACCTTTTTTTTTTTTTTTTTTTTTTTTTTTTTTTTTTTTTTGTTGGAAAAAAAACAGTTTTTGTTTTTGTATCGGGCACCCTCCCCCTAGTCTTTTATATTTTCATGTTTTTCAGTAGTTCTGTTCCTGAAATCTCAATTAGTCCATGTCGGGAATCAGTTGTGGGTGAACTATTGGGGTGTAAGAGCTTGGCATTCCCTCTAAAGACCACATGCACTCATGCTGGAAAAACCACTGTGAATGTTAAATAGACTTTATTGTCTGTACTGTGAGAATTTACTTTCCTCTAACTTGAGACAAATAGACGTTCAGTAGCTTTAGGGTTTCAGATGTTCAGCATCTCAGCAACTTTTTATTTTACTACAATTCAATGTAAAGTGAGCAGAATTTAACACTGGTGGAATGTAGATTACAAAATAAAGGAATGAAGACATCTGTAAAAAAGCTTTGACTGTTCTGCTGTAATTTGAGTCTCTTGAAGTTAATTGTAGTTCATGTGCTGCATTGTGTGATTCTTCAAACTTTTTGGAATACCTTTTTGTTGTAGCATGAAAACAAAAGTAGGGTGGCGGTGTTTATCCACTATGATCTATTATCTATCCATTACCTTATTTACTCAACAAGTTCACGCATTTTTTTTAGCGATTGCTCGGCTCCAGCATCGTCGTGATACGTGTATTCTCCAGTTTCCTAAAAGGTTTGTAGAAATGGATGGGTGTTAGTCAGTGTTACATTAGCTGTTGTGAACTTGCACAATAGAGGAAGTTAGGATAACATTGCTCTGAGTAAGAACTTCTCCCACCACCAAGTTTGTATGACTTTCCTCGTGATGTCTGTTCACGAGAAGCTGCATTTTATTAAAATGTCTTTGATTTTGCTAGTAGGAGAGAGAGGGTTATGACATCCAGCAAAGGTGCCCAGCCAGGATCAAACTGGGAAAGTTATATGGTGTGTATCTAGGCCACCAGTGGTTTTCACTTTTGTTTTGACTGGACATTTCTAGCAATTTCTTCAGAATAGCTTGAACATCCCTGTATTTCTGTAGCCCTGCTGTCTTTTTGCGTACCCCTCTAAAGACCTAGGAACGTCTGCCATGGTGAGGACAACTTTGCCACCTGTCATTGCACAGTCAACGTGTCGACCAGCTTAGAGCATGGCAGAAGCTGCATGCATGATGTTTTTTACCATTCTCCCAGCAAGAGGTTTTATGACCTTTTTATGAAGCATCTGGAATTTCACTTACTGTCTGTAAAGGACAATAGACAGCTTTAACAAGAAAGATAAGCATATTGCCTAGAAATACGCATTTTTATTCATTATTGAGAGTACGTTTTATCTCTGCTCTTCCTCACTCGTCATGAGCATGTATCACATCTAACTCTAACAGCTTTAGTGGCATA